GTTGCTATTTAAACGTTATAAAATTCATAATTGCCTGTTTCAAAAGAAGTATAGATTAATTCATTTCTGAGGCATAATGTGCCTTTAAAATAAAAAATTCAAAATTTCCAATAAAAATATTTGCGACTATTTTAGTGAGTTGATAAGTCACTTAATAGAGTCATAATTTAAGAAATGGATGCCATGAAAAATTTGATTTTGTACAGACAAAAACAACTGCTAGTAAACAAATCTTCTTCATAATCAACACCCCCAGCTAGAAATAGAAATAAATCTGATTGTTTCCCACTGATATGAACAGAAACGTAATTATGTTTTTGCAAATAATCATAAAATTTATTAATTTGTAATCTGGAAAATTCTATCCATGACGCTACTAATACACTACAGCAAAAATACCCGAAAACACTATATCACATTTAAGGTGTTATGGTAATGCCAATTATATAAAGGTACAAGTCAATCGAGTCTGTCCTCTTTTCTTGCAAAAATATTGATATCTATTATACAATACAAGTATAGTGTATGTACTATGTATATGTAATAGAAACACCACAGAAACTAAGTTTTTTTAAATCATCTTGTTACCAAGGGAATCAACCAACACAAAAAATTACTCTTATTATTCTCCCTTATCTGCAAACCATAGAATTTGAATAAACCATAGAATTTGAATGAATAAACCATAGAATTTGAATAAACCATAGAATTTGAATGAATAAACCATAGAATTCAAAGAAACCATAGAATTTGAATAAATCATGCCAGAAGACAACAAAAAACGATACTGGATTTTCAAAGCATTTAAACTTACTGAAAAACACATATTTGTATAGCAATTTTTCTTTCCAAATAACACATACACTGTAGATATTTTCATTGAGCCAGTAACACTTACACTGAGCAAGTTGTTTTAGACATTGCCATCTTAGGCTTTATTTCACCACCAAATTCAATTTTAATCATTCCTTACCTTTTAACTTTGATCAGTCTATGATGCTTGCAAACCTTGCAGTTCTAGTACCATCAGTTTTTATAGCATTATATCTGAATGTGTACATAAATTATAGATGTCATTGATTCAGTGCAAGGCATTGCTATCATACATTGATATTGGATGACAAAATATTGACTATACACTTATTTATTAATAATTTACTAATAATTACTTGTCCATAATTCACTTTCATACATATTAAAATGAATTTTCTGTATAATACATGTTCTGTTCATACAATTATGATTGTGTCTTGTTTATAAATGCACATTGATGATTTCATGATTATTTTCTGACCATTTTTATTTGTTTCGGTCGTCAGACCAAACAAATAATGGTAGCGAAATTTCAGAGTCTAATGTTGTTAATTGCAAATGCCGAAAGTAGTCCACTTTTTTGAAGCGGTTACTTCCCTTTTGTATGTACACTAACGCCGAAAAATTCAGGGGAGATCACTGCGTAAAGATGGTCAAAAACAGGCGCGTTAATTTTCAAGCAAAGTAATTCCCGAATGGTCGAAGATTTCTAATATTGTTTTATTGTATTTTCTGATCGAAAATAAGTAAATACACAGCGGAATTCAATCTCTGACACAGAAGTTTACGACAAACTTAACAACAAGTAGTTCTCAAAACAGCTTAAAACTAGCGATTTAAAAGAAAGAAATATTTTATTCTGTTACAAGTATCCAACAAATTACAACGCATTTAAAGTTAAACAATAGTGTTGGCTTATAGAATTGTCAATAAATGCACAATCACAAATTACGTGGATGAATATGATTTTATCAATGAAAATACTATTTTTAGCGATGTTGATTACCGAATACTACACAAACCGAGTAGTGGAATATATAGATTCTACATGTCGGACTGTTTGGGCGAGAAGATTTTCGCTAAAATATTTACTTCAATTTTAAACAACAGGTTTATCCTGAACAAAATACCTCGAAATTAATAAGGATTACAAACCCGAAATGCAATGGAAGTTCTTAATTTAGAATGACTTGATGTTATTCAGGCTTTGTGTATATAACTTCTCCGTGGTACAGTGGTTACGCGCTCGCTTAGTGAGTGAGAGGTCTCGAGTTCAAATCCCAGTCGAGGAAACTTTTTTTTTTTTGTTAAATTCTTTTTTTAGTGTCTTTGTTAAGGAAGTAGCCATGATATGCAAGGATAAAGTGTGGCTGTCGTAAAAAATGATCATAAATGATTTTTTGATGCAATCTAGTTATGCAGAATTCCGTATTTATCAAACTCTGGTGCCTTGCAAAATGAATTATAATACATAAAAATAAACTTATACAGGAAAATGCATACAGATATACAGTACGATTTAGATTGCAAAGATCAGAAAATACCACAGAACTTGCAGTCCTTTGATTCTTTATAAATATACATGCTTATAGTAAGCTCCAGGATTATTTACATCTGTGTTAAACAACAGTTAAAGTCGTTACAAGCCCTAATTTAGAATAATATGGTTTTCTTCAGTCTGTTCACATATAAATTCACCGTGGCTGAAGGGTTTTCGGGCTCGCTTAGGAAGCGAGAGGTCTGGAGTTCAAATCCCAGTAAAGGTAACTCATTTTTTTCAAATTGTTAAAGTCAAATAAACATTGGATTGAATATCAGTGTTGCAATTAGTCTTATAGCCAATTTACTACAATTAAAACGCTGGAAAGCATTGGTGGCACTATACATATAATCTCACAACCTGCACCTTTCTTACATTCTGAGACCCAAACAAATTCAGCGCCTTCTGTGCTTTGATTTTTTTCATCACTGCTATGAAATATGTCTATTTTAGTACATAACAACAGCATAGTTTAGACATGGACACTTGCTTCTCTATATGTCTTAGGTAAACTTTCTTCATTTCTAGATATTTAATAATTAGTACAATTAATGATTTTTTCGAATGTGTATGAATTACTGAATGATTAATGATCGCCAGAAAAATATTGATGATACAACAATATGGAATGACAGCTCTAGATTTAAGCTATTTTTATAGCAACATTCATGTTCTGATGTTATGTTTTTTTATAGGAATATGAAGCAATTCAATGATAAAAGGCAGGCCTCGACATTAGCGGTGGTCCGTTGGTCCGAGACCACTTGATTTTGGCAAGGACCACCTAATTTTAAAACCCACTGGTCCGTCGGACCACTTGAATTTTCTGGTTGATGCAAGGCTCATTTGGGAGAATGGCGATTTGGTCAAAAACATGTTATATAATTTTGTTTAAAATCTATGTCCAATGTACATGTATATGGTTCATTAATCTCTGATTAGTTAAAGAAGTTCTTAAGTCATCAATAACTTTCATTTTAAGTCGCTAAAATTTTGTTTATGCAAGTTAAAAGAGTTAAGAATTTGTGACATTAATTTAGGTACAAAATTCATTCAAATGGAGCTAGTAATTATGCATCAAATGATAACCACGGCGGAACATTAACATATATGTTATGTTACATGTAAATCAACCGTGAGTATCCGATGATGGTAATTATATGATATTGGATAAACTTAAATTTCAGATACTTGAATAACGGCAGCAAATGAAAGGAACTGGAAAAAATACATCTAGTAATTCTATGCTATTTATCTTTATTTTAACTGCTTAACGATAAGAAATCTGTTTCTTCTAGAGTTAAAATTATTTCATAAGGTTAAAAATACCCAATGTCAAAAATGAATATTAACCAACAAGCAACAGGGGTGTAAAATAATTCTGTATTATAAATCTGTGAGAAAAATAAGATAAGTTATAGTAAATAATAACGTTGTCATTATTTTAATAATTTAGATATTTCCTTGTTTTCAAAGACAAGAGTAAAATAATTTATTAGTTCCATTAAAAATTATAATCTATAAAAGATGCTATGTTATTACCATGATTATAAGACGTACCACGTATCAGCAATGAATATTTGAATGACAGTAAGAAAATAACAGACACAAATGGCTTCACTATTCCCTAACTTGAGTTGAGGGAGAAATCACTTTAATATAAAAGTTAACATAAACTGTTGTGTATTTTTGACTGAGATAAAAACAAATAAACAAATAACTCTACGATAAAATACCTACTGACTTGCTCTCCCTTTTCTGATTAGATGAAAAATATATATCTAAAAATATCTGTTTTCTTAATAGGTTAATAATACATCTTTGTCATAAAGTTTAAACATTTTTTTCTACATTTGCAGTAAAATGATATAATAATGATAACTGACCACCTGACTTCTGGAAGAACCACCTAACTTTCAAATCTAGTGGTCCGGCGTACCACCTGCTAAAAAAGTTAGTGTCGAGGCCTGAAAGGTATTACACTACATCATTTTCCATGCTGCAACTGAAATGACCCATTGACAACATTTGACGTTTGTACTGTATAACTAAAATAATCACCTGGCTATAGTCGGAGCCATTTGGTAATATGTTGGTTCCCATCTTCAAAGCGCAGGGCATTTGAATACGGCAAAGCTGGGGAGCCAATCGTGTATTTGTTGAAAGATTTTGTAAATGGAGTAAAACAGTGATAACCTTGATGTTTTTTTTCGCCTGTTGCTTTGTTTATATTGATGTTGAAGTTTAAAATTGACCATCATCGTGGAGAATAATATCTTCTGTCGATGGACATAAGGAATATGTGAAAATATTGGAAATAGAATACTTAAATACATGGTGATATTGACGATAGGTATGCTGATTTGTTTCGGCAAACATTTTTATCTTGTTATTTTTATTATAGATGTTGAAATATGAATTATTTTCAAAACTGCTTATATTAAGTTTTTTTATGTCCATGTATATGATCAGTACATGTGCTGGGATTGACAAATTGACATTTTATTTGGTTTTTAAAGGCGTTTTGAGGTCTACAAACCCAAGTGTCTCTGACCGAAAGTGTACCACTGATAGTAGACCTATATACTTTATTATGTCATTAAAAAGATATTCAAATTGATTGTCACAAAAAATAAATGAAGCTTACATATCAGGTAATGTGCCACTATCTGAAATATCTGCTATATGCTGGTTGAGGTTTCACATGTTTCTTATGATACAAATGACGTTCAAAATATAAAGGGAAGCTACTCACATCACTATATTCTTATTGTTTCCCCTCAAAACTGAACATAGGGACCAAAAACTGAGATTAAAGTAGATGTTTTTATTTATGTTTAACTTTAATCGACGCCCTGTAATCAAGCAAATGATTCAGAATGAAAAGATTACGGTATTATAACATTAGGTAACGGATCCATATGATAAAATCAAGAGTAACTTCCCTTTTATATCTTCTTTCACAGAAGTCTCTACAATGTCAAAGAATGAAAACAAAGATTGTGTAAAGAAAAAGAATGTAAATGTTTTGGAATCCATACAAACATTCGTTGACACAAATATTAGATTAATTCAGGTAACATTTTTCTCGAAATTAATATCATTATTCAAGAAAAAAAGCCTCAATATGCAGTCTCATTCCGGACTTACTCTGTTACTGTAATTGGAAATAGAAGATTAATTGCTTTGGATGCAGGATGTAATTTTTTAGTTAGTCATTAAAAATTATTTGTTTTTCCTTTGATTTGAATTGAATAGCTGTCAAGGATAACCGATGAAAGTGCAAGCAGTTATTTCCAGGAGGGTCCTTACCACTGCTTACCTCAGAGACGGCTATGAGATACAAGGAAACCCGGGAACCTGTGCTTCTTTTACATGTCCAGTGTATAGCACTGATATGTGCGATGTTTACATGGGTTTCTTAAACTTTCTTTCCAGTACACCTCTAGGTAGGTGGGAAACATTAAGTGTCTCTTAGCCTAATTAAATTGGGCGTGAACGGTTTGACCCATTTTACAAAAAAAATCTCATACTTTCAGACTATGGAAAAAGACATTGCTCGTCCAAAATTACCTCTATGTCTCTATGACAAGTCTAATTAGTTGGACTATATAAATATTAGCTGGCAAAACCTGTAATTCGGTTAGAGCGCGAGACTTGTAATCTCGATATTGTGGGTTCGACTCCCGGGCTGGCCAACTAAAATTACTAATCAGTCTTTCGGATGAGACTTTAAATCTAGGTCTCGTGTATGGGTGCTTAAACACTTGGCACGCTAAAGAACCAGGAGAAGCTTCTGGAATTGAGGCATCTGTCTGTATCTGTAATTGCACTATCCTCCAAAAAAATAAAATGACTAATACTCTTCTGGAGGACTCGCCCATATGGGCAACCGGTGGCGAGTATAAATAAACGCAAATACACACACACACACCTGTAATACACAGTTAATTAATATCTGAGTGGTAATATTTGTGTTTTTGTCACTTCAGAATGGTCTGTACATTGTAGGGGGTATAGGAGTTATTGTAGCTGCTCGCAGTATCTATGTGGTAAGTTGACAGAGTCATATTCCTTTTTTTTGTTTGGTATATTCCCAAAAACCAGTATAAAGGAATAAGAAAGTCTAGCTTTAACTTGCAAATATTTATTATTATATTATTTATCTGTGTTGTGTGCCATATTCGTGTGATTGAATAAAGTTGGCTCATTTCACATCCAGTCATGTATAATAAAGCCATGGATACTCACAGTATAATAAAGTTTGTGACAGTATTAAATAAAGCCATGGATACTAAAACTGTATTAAAAAGCCATGGATACTTATACTGTAAAATAAAGTCATGACAGTGAATTTTCTTACTTAAATGGGAAGAGGCCTTAGCCTCTTGATTTTGGGAAAATGTTGCTAAAATGGCTAATTGGGAAGTTAAAAAGCAGGTGTAAGTTGATATTTTTTTGATGAAACTGTAGTGATTTTAAGAATTTCCAGTTGAGAATGAATTGCCTTTTATCAAGTATATTTACAAACAGTGAAATTTACTTGCAATGAATATTTTTGATATTTATTGAAGCTCTATTGAAATACTGTTAAAGTGATTAAAATAAATCTTTTATCAACATCTGGAGCCAAAAAGATAATGTTTTATTATCTACCATACACCTACTAATAATATCTTTAAATGAAACTTGTCCATTCATTCTAATCTTGGACAAGAGCAATTCATAAATTTTAGGAATTTAAAATTGTTTGACTGGAAGCTGTGAATTATTGTTGCAGACTCCATAATCAGATTTTGTATTTGGCTGTGCTGGCCTGAATCTTGGGGTCCTCACTGTTGCGGCAATCTGTTTCCCACCAACAAGTCTTTCATTAAGAGTACATTCAATTGATATTGTGAGTCTGATCTTGGTCCTACTTGTTCGATGTTGTCCATGGTTAAATATTCTGTTGTCTATACCAACAAGCTTCTTAAAGAGTTAAATTAAATAAAATTATTATTATCATTGATTTATTGCATAAACTTTACTGCCTGTCCTGAATGTGATTTAAGAGATGTACATTTATATTTATTTCAGACAAAAATATTTACAAAAGTTGAAGACATTCCTGCCCAATTTTTACGGGATAGAGTAAAGTTACGTGGGAAAGTCCAGCAAGTTCATCACGATGGCATGTTAAGTATTGAACACATTCCGATTCTTCGTCTGAAGATACCATTTGTCAAACAAAATATAGGTAATACACCATAATTAATAGGATGAATTTGTTAGAGCGCAAAGACTTGTAATCTCACATTTTGTGCTTTCCATTCTTTGGTTGGGGCGTCTGTGGCTGAGTGGTTAAGGTCATTGACTTCAAACCACTTGCCCCTCAACGCTGTGGGTTCGAATCCTGACAGGGACTTTGGATTCTTTCATGTGAGGAAGCTATCCAGTTAGCTAAATGGAAATTCTGTGGTTCTGCTCAGGTGCCCTTTCTTGCCTGAAATAATGTACGGAAGGGCACCTAAGGTCTTCCTCCAGTGGAGGACCTCCACCAATAAAGCTGGAATTTCGCCATATGACTTTTAATGTGTTGGTGTGAGGTAAAACCCAATTAAACAAACAAACCATTCTTGGGCTGACCAACTAAGATAACTACTCTTTTGAATGAGACTTTAAATCAAGGTCCTGTGTATGACTGTGCTTAAACACTTGGCACCCTAAAGAACCAGGAGAAGCTTCTGGAATTAGGGCATTTTTCACTGTCTTGCATTATCCTCTAAAATCTAAAATGAGTAATACTCCTCTGGAGGGTTCATCTATATGAGCAACTGGTGGCGAGTAAAGTTTTTTTTTCATCAACACACAAAATACATTTGCATATGAATTATCCAAATAAAACAAGTACAATGTGTGTGTGTATATATATGTAAATTTCAAGACATTATCCAATTATACAATTTGGCATTTGCCAAAATGAAAAAAATAAAATAAAAATTAATTGGACTTACTGAGAAGCTAGGTCTTGTGAGCCTTTATATATATTTCAAATTGATACTTTGCTTTGACTTGTTTCAGAGAAATTAAAGAATTAGAGTATGTTTAAGCTCATGTTCAACCTAGCTGAAATCCAAAATAACCTTTTTTGACCAATTTTAACTAAAACATATGATCAAACTGTTTCAGCCTCAGAAAAACTGAACTACATTCTATTTTGTGACTTTTCTTTTTTAAAAGAAGTAACAGGTGTTATGACCATATGCATGAATAGAAATGAAAGTCATGTAATAGGTTGTTTTGCAACTATTTAAAATTTCTTAAATTTCCCAAAATTTCAAATATTTTTTCTCCAATTTAAACTAGGGACCTTTTCCTAATATAGTTGGAAAGCCCCTCTTTTTACTTTAAAAATAATGAAATAATGTCAGCTCAACTGATTTGACCTTGATATTACTTATTAATGTACAACTAAGCAGTATTTGATGTTATTGAATCACAATAATATTATGAAAGATATATACATTGTACATTGTGTCTAAATTTGTTTAAATGTGGAATAGTCCCTTTGAAATTACAGTCTGTGAAATTAGGGTTTAAAAATTGTTGTCATTCGGGCAACCAATTTAAGAAAATCTTGTTGTCCAAAGTAAAAACTGGTTGTCAGAATATTTTCATCAGAACATCTCCAAGCAATTATTGATCAAATCTGCAAACTTATCTTCAGTGAGAAACAGTCATAAATGTAAGCAAACTGTATTTGATATCTTGCATTGTTGACATTTTGATGAATGCTTTCTGCAAATTTTTACTTGTCCATTGAGCAAGTAAACTTTTAAAAATTGGTTGTTCGGACAAAAAAATTGTTGTCTCGGGCAATAGGACAACTGCTAATTTCGCAGACTGACATTAGATAATTTGTACATGTGCAGTCTTTGTAATTTCAGATTGTTTGCCTGTAAAACTAGCTTGTATAGATGTGAGTCCTGAGGGTAGATTGTGGTTAAACAGAAACATCCTACACAAAGCAGTCTGGTTCCATCTGCTACATAGGAATGGTTCCCTAAATGGCATGGGTTCACAATTGTACAGTAAAATTGAAATTCCAAGGGTAAGTAACATAGCAACATGATTTTTTCTTGTGCATGGTTGCAACTGATACTTCACTGATTCTTATAAATGTGTCACAGTCTTGTGAGCTCAACTCAGCACAAATTGCTCAGAGGTTAGCTTTTGTAGTTTTTGTGATGGCAGTGTGTACAATGTTTTGTCAGTTTCGACTATTTCTTTCAACAACATCTCATAAACCACTTGATAGATTTTGACCAAAAGTTATATAAGTCATGCCCTGAAAAATGATCCTGCCCTTAATTTGAATATCAGATTCAGAGACTGAGTATAGCGTAAAACACAAAGATGACTGCTTATTCTCAGAACAGATAAACATGCTCAGAGCTTACGATCTTTTGCATGTAGCTTGACCTTGTAGTCAACTACATAGTGATAAGATCAAAGCCAGCCTAACCTTGACGTCAACTGCATAATGATAATCATGCCCTTGGGATCAAAGCTTGCCTACCCTATTGGTAACTTTGTTTGTTTAGACTAACATGCTAGAACAATTGTCTTTTTGTGTGAAATAACAATACCAAGAGCTTAGATAATTGTCAAGAAACATTTCTTAGCAGATATCTACAAATATTTTTTTTTTAATTTTCATAGATGTAGATCACATATCATGTTAACTATGTCTTTGAAATCATGTAGCCTCGAGAAGAAAAGTCGCCTGGTCATCATGGTCATCTTGTTTATCTTAAAGTCCTTGCAGAATCTGCATTATCAAAATAATGTTTTGATTATAATATAATAATGATGAAGACTCGTGAGAGTCGAAACGTCGGTTATCATCATTAAATAAACCTTAAAACTTATCCTGTGTTGATTGTTTGTTCCACTTTTATTGTTTCTCTTGTATAATATAATAATGTATTTATATATGAAAGAACTTTTTTTCATGCTTTCAGCGATTCAGAGGAAACATCCATGTGAATGAGGAGCTTATTAGACTAGGTCTGAGTAAAATCTCCTCACTGTCTCATCTTGAAGAAAATGACATGTTATTAACCAATCAAAACTTGTTACTATATTTAGATCAGTTAGTGAAATTGGAAGACATTGCCTCTAAGAAAGGTATAGGTATGTGGAAACAGCCTGAAGAAAATTCTTGGAGGAAAAAATCATTGACAGCTGTAGGAAGTATTCTAAGTAGTCCATTTCGTGCCATAAAGTGGATGTATAAAAAATGGAGACATAAAGAGTAGTTTGGTTTTTAGATTTTTAAAAAATAAAATACTTCAATACATTTTATAATGTTGAGAACTGCAACATATACTTTATATATGTATTAGTTCCATTTGTGCTAAATTTTAGATATGAGTGACAGAGATTAAAATTTGTAATACTCATAGACACCCTTAATTATAGTAAACACACATTGTAACTTTCAGTTACAGAATAAACTTTCATCTTAAATGGAAAAAGAGACAATTATTGATTGATTATCAGAGGCGGATGTTTTCAGGGATAGTCGATGTATTACAAACAATGACATAGTTTGATTAGATCAATAGGTAAAGTGTTAAGACCGTGAATCATGCAAGCGGGTTCGATTCCCAAACGTTGCAGGTCACTTTCATTGTGATTGATCATGAAATCCTTTCTACGGTAATTCACACAGTACCTCTGCTCTAGCATGTACAGAAAGTTATCAGTTCTTTGTAAAAGTAAAGGAACTATAGTACTGGTTAACTGCCTGACAGCTTGCTCAGGAATGATGTGGTGGCTGAACTGAGCTCTGGTGAATTTATTGAGGCTTACTGCAGTGATCCTGAGTGAAAACTACATGTACCAACACCACTACAAACAATGCAGAAATTCTGGTCAGCTCAGTGGTTGAGCGTTGTACTGTGTATCGGGCAACCAGGGTTTGATTCCTGGATGGTGTTGGTCACTTTCCAAAAGTTTTATTGTGATTGATAATGAAATCCTTTCTAAGGTTATTTGTCCTGTACCTCTGCCCTTGGCAAAAAAGTTATCAGTTCCTTGCAAAAGTAAAAGCTCTATAGTACTGGTAAAGTGCTTGACAGCCTGCCCTGGAATGATGTGGTGGCTGAACTGAGCTCTGGTAAATTCGAAGTGGCTTACTCTAGTGATGCTGAGTGAAAACTAATAACACTACCACTATAAACAATAACACCAAGACTCATGTATACAGTTTTAAAGTATTTATTATTAAATAAAAACTAGAGGATGCTTTTGTAAAAAAGCGCATGTCTCCCCCACTGCTGAGAATAACTGTGAATGGAAACAGGAATGGAAATGGAGATAAGATAATGTAAATACCCGGTAGTCACTTCAATGAAGGCTGTCTATGGATGGTTTCTATTGTTAAGGTTGTATGAGAAGATGTGACCTTGACCTTTGACCTACTGACCCCAAAAACAGTAGGGATCATCTGCTCTATAAGACCAATTATCCTATGAAGTTTGAGGGCTGTAGGTCAAAAGGAACTCTAGTTATCATCCGGAAACGAGAAATTGACCAACGGTCACTGTGACCTTGACCTTTGAACTACTGACCCCAAAAACAATAGGGATCATCTGCTCAATAAGACCAATCATCCTATGAAGTTTGAGGTCTGTAGGTCTAAAGGAACTCTAGTTATCATCCGGAAACGAGAAATTGACCAACGGTCAGTGTGACCTTGACCTTTGACCTACTGACCCCAAAAACAATAGGGATCATCAGCTCTATAAGACCAATCATCCTATGAAGTTTGAGGGCTGTAGGTCAAAAGGAACTCTAGTTATCATCCCGGAAACGAGAAATTGACCAATGGTCACTGTGACCTTGACCTTTGAACTACTGACCCCAAAAACAATAGGGATCATCTGCTCAATAAGACCAATCATCCTATGAAGTTTGAGGTCTGTAGGTCTAAAGGAACTCTAGTTATCATCCGGAAACGAGAAATTGACCAACGGTCAGTGTGACCTTGACCTTTGACCTACTGACCCCAAAAACAATAGGGATCATCAGCTCTATAAGACCAATCATCCTATGAAGTTTGAGGGCTGTAGGTCAAAAGGAACTCTAGTTATCATCCGGAAACGAGAAATTGACCAATGGTCACTGTGACCTTGACCTTTGACCTACTGACCCCAAAAACAATAGGGATCATCAGCTCTATAAGACCAATCATCCTATGAAGTTTGAGGGCTGTAGGTCAAAAGGAACTCTAGTTATCGTCCGGAAACGAAGAATGGACGGACGGACGACCAACGGTCAGTGTGACCTTGACCTTTGACCTACTGACCCCAAAAACAATAGGGATCATCAGCTCTATAAGACCAATCATCCTATGAAGTTTGAGGGCTGTAGGTCAAAAGGAACTCTAGTTATCGTCCGGAAACGAAGAATGGACGGACGGACGGACTGACGGACGGACGGACTGACGGACGGACGGACTGACGGACGGACGGACGGACGGACAGGGCAAAAACAATATGTCTCCCCCCGAGGTGGGGGAGACATAATGAATAGTCATACATACAGAGTGAAGTTTGGACCATTTCTGTCAGCACAATATAATCACTTCATGTTAAAACATAAAAATATAACACATTTCTAAATTAAATAGAATATCTACAACAGAAATTTACCTAATAATGTCATTGGAAATAGGACAAATAAAATGTCCCATTTAAAAGGCCAAGTGTCCATTTTCACCAATTACAGTAATACACATTATATGTAGCAAAAACTTGAACAGTCCTTAAATTTGTATAAAAGCAAATTTATAATTCACAGTTTTAACAATTTCTTACTTATCTTTGAATACAAAAAGCATTTTTTTTTCGTCTACAATTATAAAGAAATTATGAAAAATTATCCAGATGACCAAAATAATTGTTCCAAATGTGTATATCTGGAGAAAAAAAAAGGATAAACTTTTGAGCAAATTCACTTTCAAAGTGTTTTCTTTTCTCCAAAAATTTACTAATACTATTGGTTGTCTATGCTAATAATGTCACTGAACAAGATGTTAGTATTATACATCGGAGTTTTTATGGAAACAAATTATTCTACATAGAATTGTTTTTATGTGACCAAGTTTTTCTTATATAATATTGTGTTCAATTTTAAAAAGTGTTTATTTTGAAATTATTTCTAAGTGAACAAGCTGTCAGATTTTTCTTACCTTAAAGGGGTATAAAGTTTTCAGTTTTTAACAACATTCTGTCTTCAACGACCTTACTATAGAGCTGTATGTAACTGGAAGAATATAAATTTTAGTTCTTTTTATCTTGCTTAAAAAACATAATCAAATTCATAAACAGAAATGACAATTATTGTGAATTTTCAGTTAAGCCAGTGGCACATACACAGAATCATCATCAGTCGTATTAATAACATACATAGCAGTGGAATACTTTGGAAAGGGAATGTTTTACCTTTGTTTTTGTTTTTTTATATATTTACCTTAATTCATGTTCATAACAGCAACATTTTCTCCAGAAATGACCACTGAATATGAAGACAATCATGATTATATACATGCTTTGTGTGCCTGTACCTGCTAAATATCTTAAATGGACTTGCCCATCTTTCTATCTGGACAAAGCCATTCATCACTTATAGGGAATATTTCAAAATAAGAACTGACTAAATAGCAAACAATGATCAAAGGATATAGACATGCTGGCTGATATTTGTCAGCACTGGTCACATGGTACAATCTGCAGCCACTGGCAGGATAATGGATATATCATTGAACAAAGTTGTTCTTATTTTTCATTTTTCCTAAATTTACACACTAATGCTTTATAGTTTTTTATAGCATAAACAAATTATTTTTGCTTTACAAGTTTTTCAAACTATAATTGTTGTGAATTAAAAACTTGCTTTATTTACAATTTACTATTTTTATATTAACATAAAAATTAGTTGTTTCTACTCAAACAAAAATAATTATTTATTCCTTTTTACATAAGTTTCCAGGTGAACACATAACATTAATAAGAAATTTTTTATGTCAACAATTTGTTCAAAACGAAGTTGTTTCTAAGTAAACATGTTGTTTTTAACCCCAAACCTGCTGGAACTGAAAGTGATTAATTAGCTGTTACCACCAGTATAGAGCCAGGCCAGCCAGCGTTTCCGCACAATCTGGCCAGGTTCTATTTTGTTGGCCGACTTATTTATATTTTCACCTCGATATTCCCAAAATTATTTCTTACTTGTGTTTCTATTTAATATTTGCATTTTAATTGCTTTCTTCACTAGCATAATGAATCAAATCGATGCTGACTACCAAACTCGCTGACTGCCAAACTCTTTGTAACGTTTTGACGTTATCGCTATTGTTGTCATGTGACGCTGACATAATTTCCTGTTTATCATTTATTTATGTACTCTAATTAAGGCTGTTCAGCCGAAACGTTGGTATATTAAAGGGAATTTTAAGAATTTGCAGTTGACTTCTTATTTTTACTATTTATCAAAATTATTAATAAACAGATCCAAACATGGAACTATGGTAAAGTCCACTAAAGAAATTCGACAGGTTAAGTGTGAACAATGTGAATGAATACTTTAAAACTGGGACGGAACATTTACTGTCGAAAAAAAAATCTTACAACAAATAATAATACAAACGATAATTACAGAAATACATAAATCTTATGGTACAGTGTTCTTACAAGAACTAAAATTGATACTAACACTACACTGACTGGTTTAAATGAAATTATAAAAAAGCATTTATGAATTTATTCTGCCATTAACCCTTAACATGCGGGAACTAAAAAGTGATTCTTGTATAAAAACTACGTGCAAATGGTAAACATTAACGGAGAAAAAAATACACATTAACAGATAGATTCACAAGACCATATGCCATTGTTGCATATTTTGCAGTATGTGTGACTTGGGGGTGCAATGTAAAAATAAATTTCTGCAATGATGTAGTTTCATTTAAACAAAATTGTCTAATGACATCGCATTAGCATATGGAAAGTATGATGATATTGGTTTCTTTGTTGAAACCACACACCCCAGATAACTCAATATGAAATTACAGAATTAGACATAAACTTAATGACCTTTTTTTTTCATGCAGTAACATCTCCAGAAGCCCTCACACTTATCAATTCCTTCACCCAGTGGCTCATGCTTTAAATGCAACTTCGTGCTTCTGCAGATGTTATTGCACAAATGAAGCTCCATGTACCCTCTATTAGCAGTATAGATCCGGGCAGAGCTAGTCTGCACATCCATGCAGTCTAACCAAGGCTTTATACTGTTTTCACCACAAGTTCTATATCTTAATATTAAAATGCCTTAAACTGTGTTCAATTTCAAAGCAGGGCAAATCCGTTACACAAATTCATCCGTTACACAAATTCATCCGTTACACAAATTCATCCGTTACACAAATTTATCCATTACACAAATTCATCCGTTACACAAATTTATCCATTACACAAATTCATCCGTTACACAAATTCAGCAGGTTAAGGGTTAAGTGAACACAAAACAAACTCTGCATTATTTGATATGTAAAGAAAGAAAAAACACAAATAAAATACATGAACTCATCTAGACAAAAAGAATCAAACAATTACCCTCAATCCACTCCATTCGCCTTTTAAATAAGCAATTTTCTATTTCCACAAATTTTTCCTCATTTTCAGAAAAGATAGATTTTTTTACTGTTCAATGTTAATTAATTCCATGTAAAAAGGGGTTTTCTAGGAATATTTCATACAAAATTTGCATTCAAAAAAGATGAATATTTTAATCCTGATTTAAATTCATTGAGAACATAAAAACAATAATTCAGCTTTCGATTTCACTGACAATATGAAATATTATGTAATTAAATAAATATATTAATGCACACTTTTATTACAATATCTACAAGCATTTAAACAATACTGTTGTGAAGGTTTTTGATAATTGACATTAATTTTGATGAAAAAAAAAAATAAAAAAATGGAGTTTTTATATGAAATATTTAGAGGCACCCAGAGAATGATTCATCACTAATTTAAAGGCCCATTAAGTCTCAGAAATGAATCTTTTTTTCTTCTGTAGAAACGGCCAACATCTGTTTTAAACTGTTGTAATAATAATGGATTCAGAACATGATACTTTGCCAAGAGCCTTACCTTAAGAGAAAAAGCACTGAATATGAAATAATTTGTGACAGACATAGCAAAAAGTACACAAAGTGGTATTTGACTTCAAGACAAAATAATAAAGTTCTAACTTCCTAAATTGCCAAAATGCAAAAAACACAAACAAGATTGCTTAGCTATAAGGCCAATGAGTAATGTTTTGGAAACTTTAACAGGATACCAAAAGTAAGAAGTTTTTGAAAAAGTGAAAATATTATCCTTATTTTTCAGGCTTAATGGGCCTTTAATAAAAATCTATCCATAAAAATATTTTCATTTTAAAAGAAACACATGTTATTCTTTTAACGACAAATCAATGAAAATCTTTTTCTGCCCTGAAACCTTCAAACTGTATTTACGCCATTATGCAAAACAAATAAAGATAGATACAAAACATAATGAGAAATTATATCAAACTCATCAAAATTGGCGAATACTTTGTCTTCTTTGATCTGATGTTTCCTTAAAAAGCTTTTCACACAATGTAATAATTAACATTTTTTTTTTCTCATACATTTTTTTCTGGAAATTTTCCAAATTTTTTATAAAGTGACAACAAATAATTGGTGCTTTAACAACAATCAAAATTGCACAAAGATGGTGCTGCTGTAATACATGTAATTATACATGTATAATACATGGATTTATCAAAAATATGAACAGTCAAACTGGTGCAATGAAGTATATGTGTATACAATGTACAATAAGGTATGTAAACAAGCATGTGCTGACACCTGTCTCCCTAAGTCAACAATAATGACATCTTTGTTGTAAAACAATATATTATACATTTTTCAGTCCTTACAAAATTAAAGAATTGATATATCTTTTTTATTTATTATTATTTTTCTTCAATGTCTGTATTATATCTCTTGTTTGTTTCGTTAATCAGAGCTCAGACATTCATGGGACCAGTCCTTAACTCTATTGCTAAAACTTCTCAAACATATTAATAGACAATTCAAGGGTTAAAATTCTAGTTAACTCCTGTATTAAGAAAAAAAAATTTTCTTTTGAGTATATTTTTTCTTTGGAAGCTTACATTACAATTTTCTAAATTATGCTACTTTGAACTATCTATAACAAAATTATCAGTTAAATTAAAATCGTCAGTTACACAGTCACATGCTCCCAGATGCTGCCATCTTTGCACGACAAAGATAAAATCATGGCCGAACAAAAGGGAAAAGTAGGAAAATCTACTCTTGCCCTTAAATGACCTTGACCCACTCAACCTGAAACCCCCAAGGTCCATTAATTTTTACTAGCACACCTAATACCAAAGATAACAGTTGCTATTATTGACCAATAAATTTCTTGAATTTTGATTGGCTTATATGCTTTGTATACAGTGCCATATATACTTTGTAGACTGGAAACACATAGATAATTTGGTGCACGTTGAAAAACCTCAAGGGATATGACAAAAAATATTATGCATTTTAAATCAACATTATTTTATATTCCATTTTTATAAACTTGTCTTCAAAAATAATTTGCATTATCATAAATTCACTACAGCCCCAGCCTAGTCATATTTATCTCAGCCAGGCAGTATTTTCTCATATATTCCGTCAGCAACTTATATAACCAATAATAAATAAAAGAGCAATGAGAAATGGTCAGTGTTAGTTGTTGTGTTGGCTAGAGTAGAAGTTGTTGTGTTACTGAAGAACATATCCAGTAGCCACAATACTCCAATGAAAAAATAATGTTCAGAGCATAACATGATGAAATATTGTCATTAATGTATCATTCAAAATAAACACAAGACAAACAATTTAATAATATAATTAATAATACATACATCATCCTGAAGACGGCCTTTGTTAGACCGACACAAGTTGATTAAAATAAACATTAGGGATGGTTAGGGATGTGTTGTTTCAACAATCAATAAATCAAGTACAAGTAACCTTATTCTTTATGTATAAAATAAACATGTGATGTACTAAAAGACATTTTTATACAAAATTCCGAAAGGAAAGTTTTATTATTTTTTGTCATTAACATAGTCCTTGTATAAAATTTAAAAAAGTTTTTTTTATTTTGTTTTCAGAAATAAAGACCTATAGTCTTTGGCTCAACTTTTTAATAATTAACAAAGACAATTTCAAAACAGGTAAAATTATTGAGATCATTTTTAAAATGTTTGTTTCTTCTCTACATTGAATCTGAAGTTACTTTTAATGGTGAAAAAAATGAACATATGAAGAAATTATCTTTTATATATGAAAAAATGCACAGAAATTATACTTTAAGTGATACTAATTTCATATGAAAATATTTCATTTTTTTTCATACCACTCAGGAAACTGACTCGACACCTTTATCATTTTCTATATGCTCAACTTCTCTAAAACTTACGAGTAGTTTCACATGCGAAAATCTAAAAATTTTGCCAATACATAAGATTTCTTATGAATAAAAATTATTTGTGTGTTTTATTGTAAAATGGATGTTTTGTGAGACAGTTGGACGTAAAAAGTTTTTATATAAATGACCGATCAAATCTAGGACACTCGATGATAAATCATTCAAGAGTGAGCTTCCTATACAATCGAACTAAAATAAATTTGTAATAAAGGGACTTATTTCTTTCAAGCCGAACTGAAAACTGTGCAAAATGTTACAACAAAAATGCACTTTACAAATTAATTATAATAAAACTTTACAAATTTGATGATAACTACATTAAATTAATACTCTTCAACAGCATGAAAAATTTTAAATTTTGCCATCACTTTAACCTTTCAGATTGTTAAAATGCTCAGCATTTTTTCATATTAATACTCGGAAATCAAACTAGATGTTTTCCTGGATGCACATAAACAGATATAACAAGGCCACTTATGGCCCATTTAAAAAAAAAAATTACAGTACAACCCTGACCATAAATCTGTACCATACCGTATGCACTACAGTACACTTAAGGGAACAAAATCAGTGGCTCAAATAACCACTGTCTATTATTCATTCTGAACCCTTATTCTACAATGATTCATTGAATAAAAGAGTAAAGCCTATTCTAAATATGAATAACAGCTTGACATGACTTTCTTTAAAAAAAATCATTAAGGTTTCAAAATAAATATTATAAACAATCCTTAACGATGCATAAATAAACATATTATGATTCTATAAATAAAACACCCTAAGGATTATAACACCTCAGAAATGTGTTTCTTCAGTATTTTCCTCAAAATTTCATTTTTCAAATTCAAAATTTGTCTATATAGAATGATAAAAAACCTCATTGTAACATCACACACTACATAGAATTGAGAGGCATTAAACTCTAGGAATTATAACTGATTTCAACAAAGCATTATCTCTTGGTGGGGTGTAAACAGGTCAAATTGACAATGGCTACATGAGCAAGATAGGTAGAGTTGTCTCCCTTTCACTGTTTTTTTTCTTTTATTCTGCAGTTTTATTTTGTTATGTCAAGTATAATCCCTGCACTACACGTAGAAAATTCGAACTTTTGAGGTGCTGACTAGGATTCCATCGTCGAAAAAACGTGTTTCTATCACAACATTACCACTGGAAAACAAACAAAAGAATAATAATTATATTTTCATGTCACAAGTAAATCTCTTTTCTTTCAAATAATTAAAAAGTTTTTTTTGACCCTATCTGTGTCATTGATAACTTAATATTCATCAGGAACTTAACATCTATAGATAAGTCTGCTGCTATGAAACTGACAGACAGCCCTTTATCATATTAAATATCTTAAATGGACTAGTCCATCTTTCAATCTGGGCAAAACCATTCATCATTTGTAGGGAAATATCAAAATTTTTGTCAAAGGGTGAGACTCGAACCAAGGTCCCTCAGAATACCGTTCCGCGGCTCTATTCACTGAGCTATCTGGCCTCTTAAACATCTTCTACCCTATATAGTGAACAGTTCTTAACATAAGTATTGAATGCCAGCTAATCTTGGTCTGCACTGGGGGTATGGATAGAAATCAGTTGTACACTATGAGTTCAAGTGTATATAGCTTTATTGGGCTCTATATGAATCAGAAGAAAATTTGTTTTTTTTTATACCAAAGTTTCTAAACTGAATGAACAATTTGTTAATTTCCATTGAAACTGGTTGCAAATGCGTAAAATCAACACAGAATCTACGCAAATTAGCACTTGAATGTTTAGTTAGTGAAACTTTATATTCTGTTGTGTATATAATTAATGAACATTGAATAACAGACACACTGCTTGTATAGTAAACTCACTAAAGTGTTTATACTACTGTTATAAAACTCATGCATCTTTTAAAACCATGTGAATCCCACTGAATTCTCGCTCAATAGACTTGACACTTTTTGTTGGTATTTAGATATCAGTGAATTAAGGGAAATGTTTATTGTTAATTTGAAATTTGTGAGAATGGCAAACAGAATCTTTTCCATTTTGGTTTAAATACCTGCTATGGTAAAACATGTGTTTCCTTAATATGTCAAAAACAGGATGTGGAATTGAAATTGATTCATACAACCTGAACCAACTGGCATCATTATCAAACACTAAAAGGTTGTTTAATATAAAGAAATAAAAAATCTTCATTATCAAACTCTAAAAGGTTGTTTAATACAAACAAATAAAAAAATCTTATGAAACCAGAAGCTGTCTAGTTATTAAAGGAACTCCACTGAGGTCCAAAAGCCTGAAAACATAAAACTTGAATTTTTTACATAATTATATCAGCTGGAGAACATGGCAAAAGCCAATAAAGAATTATGCTCAGAAATAAATTGAAAATCAAACTTTTGTGTTATTCTTAGCCTGATTTCAGTGAAAAAGTAATGCAATGCTTTTTTAAGTTAGGGTCATTTTCATAATTAGAACAATTATCCTGGCAAAAAGGAATGAGCGAATGATCTAGAATTTTGCACACAAGTTACTGGTCTAATACTACACCTAATGGGACATTTATCTCGAACAAATGATTAAAGTCCAATAATGTAAAAAAAAACAACCTTGGTGGAGTCCCTTTAATAAATTAGAAAAGATGTAAAACTTACTTGAGTACATTTGCTGGCATCATCTGGCTCTCTGGTGCAGCTTCTATCACACTTTGCCATGTGTTTGTTGAGCCAGGAATCACAAAACCAAACTCAAACAACCATTCTGTCAAAACAATCAATGAGCAAACTATTCATTGTATGTACAGTACATATTATTTATTACATTTTTCATCCATGTAAACGTAACAATGAAAAAAAATTATTTTTTTTACCTTTGATCTCATGTTATCTCATCATTTGAAGTAAAGCTCATTCAAACATCCTAAATTATTTGTTTGTTTGTTTGTTTCATTTTTTTACGCCTTTTCCCAACAGTATTTCAGTCATATAGGCGGGTAGATTCCTAACCATCGTTCCTGAAGAGTTACACCAGTACAAGACTACCTTTCTCCATGCTAAACTACCAAAGCATCTCCCGGGGTATCGAACCCACGCCAGAGAGGTAACTGGATTAGAAGTCATCAACTCTATTCCCTCAACCACGGAGGCGGTCTTCCTAAATTATTTCTTGGAAAGTATATTGACTATTTCTGCATCTCTTCTATGATTGTTAGTCTACGTCAACACTTAGTCATCTCCAGAGAAAGTAATGTCATTGAAGTATAGTTATCATTATTTTATTTTGGTTGGGTTTATAATCACACTGCCACTGTTAAGGTCATATGGAGACTTTCCAGCTTTCCTCGTGGAGGATAAGAACTCGTGCTCCTCGACATGAGATGGCACCCCGAGTAGAGACCCACTGGTCGATCATTAACTGGCTAGAAACCTTCCTCAAATAAAAGAATCCAAAGCCCCAGGTGGGATTCGAACCCAGTCAGCAGCGAGTGGCTAGTCATTTAAATTCAGCAGCCTTTCCTATTGGCCATAGAAGTTCCAGGTAATTTCTTAAATTTACCTCAAACCATAAGATCTCAAAATAAAATGGACAACATGATAATAGATTCTTTAAAATTTGCTTTCATACTAACACTATTTTAGTTTTCTAATGTATACAAAAAGTACTAATTGTTTGCTAGCTGAAATTGAGAAATATTATTGAGATTTAATTCTGTGGTAAAAATTTGTTATATGAATACTGAATCTCTTTGCCCTAACTTGGCATATATCAGACAGAGGCAATAAATCTTAATATTTAGAGGAAAAAGAAAGTACGGTATAATATCTGCAGGGTGACGGCCCTCTGTACAACAATGGTATCATTTCTTCCTTATCTTACCATTCACAATAAATTTAACCTCTGAAGGACAACACCTGTCAGGAACAACCAGACTCTTTGTGTCCCCAAATCGGTTTTGTTATGTACAGGTTGTTTTGTAGCATTTTCTATTTTGATTCTCCCTATTATTTAACCATTATTTACCAACACAACAAGCTCTTGATCATTTAAAACAATACATTAAGCACAAGATGATTTCAAAGTGCCTTCAGCTTTTCTAAAGATTAAATAAGCAGCGCCATGACAAAACCAACATAATGGGTTTGCGACCAGCATGGATCCAGACCAGCCTGCGCATCCGCGCAGTCTGATCAGGATCCATGCTGTTCGCTATTAGTTTCTCTATTTGTTATAGGGTTTGTAAGCGAACAGCATGGATCCTGATCAGGCTGCGCGGATGCGCAGGCTGGTCTGGATCCATGCTGGTCGCAAACGCAGTACACTGGTTTTGTCATGGCGCGGCTTTTAGATTTTCAATTATTTTATTTACTTGTCAAATCAAAAGAATTAAAGAGGAAAACTGAATACGACGACGATAAAATACATGAACAATGAGGAAACCCCGTGATACCTTTAATTTACCAGTGCGCTCTCTATATTCAACTTAGTAAAGCGGACGATTTGATTCCTGATCTTCTATATTTAGAACAGAGACATCCCGACTTGTTATAAATAGCTCTCAGGACGCTGTTTTGAAGAAGGTTTAAACCTGATATGATGCACTTTTTCAAGACAAAATTACTGAAATACTTAGTTTGAAACAACACTGAATTGTTTTTCCAACTGAAAATTATGATCTATTATCAATAGATAATATTGATACACATGATAGGTTTAAAGATAGTTAGAATTTGTTTCTAAAACAAAATAACTAGTTTATTTCATACAAACCTTCTAAGCATTTTCCCTTGAATAAAACTTTTTGTTCTAATCTGAACTTCTCCATTGCCTCTTTTGATGAAAAGTTTATTTCCCTTGACACTGCTCGACACTTCAGAATCTTTTTTGGGACTCGCGCTGCAAAAATTGACATCATGTCATAAATTATTAGGGAAATAAAATGGGAAAAATTATGAAAAACAATTTTTCTTATCAATGTAACGAAATAAAAAATTGTCTAAAATTCTTTGTGTGTCCTTATGTACATGAACCAAGTCAATATTTATGTTATAAAAACAACATTTATGTCAAATTACTTATATGTAACTGGGAATATGGACATATTATAATGCAAAATTGTGTGCACAAATATGTAAATAAATTGTATATTTTATATTGGTATTGACACATTATAATGTGAACACACATATGTATGAATAAATTGTATATTTTATCTTGATATCGACACATTATAAAGTGTACTTGGGTACACATATGTGTGAATTAATTATATATTTATCTGGATATGCACACATTTTAAAGTGAATTTGTATACACAAAATTATTGTAAATAAATCATATATTAATCTAGTGTTGAGTTTACCTTCATGCTCTACTCCTGGGGCTGACCTGAAAACATACAAACAACATATCAAATTTATTTGTTTATTTTCCTGTTTATTTATTACATACAGATTTCTGGGGTTGATCCACTTCATCAACTTTCCTGGATAACTAACCAGTAATTACCATTTTTCTTCAAATGACAGACTACTTATCCCATGTGCTTTAAGAATCAGTGATGAGAGACACATAACCTGTAACTAATAGACTCTGTGAATCTCCAAGATCAACTGCCCACAGAGAAATTCTGTCTCACCTGAAGATCAAACCAGGGACCAAGCCGCCCCTGGGTTACTAATCTGATGCTCCACCTATTGAATTAAGAGGGCCGATAATTATAAGAACATGTAGCACAAATAATATGTTGCAAAGTATATTGTTGAAATCAAATATATAAGAATACATTCGTATTTCAACCATTTTTGAAATTTTGCATAGATACATTTGTATATTGCAATGCATAATAAACAATGTAGAACTAAAACATCATTAGCGCCTAAAGTACTTAGTATCACTGTCATGTTTTTAAACATAAATTAGATTTCATTAAAATGTTATGATAGAGCATCCAGCACAAGTTGCAGAAGCCACTTTCAGAAAATAATTTCATTCTATCTGAAATCTTCTTGCATGGCTGCATGGGTATCAATTATTCATTACTTACAGTCAACGATTCTGTTATTATCAGATGGAATTCTGTATCTGACAGTCAATACCAAAGCATCATGTTTAAAATAGAAGCTTTTTATATGTTTTGTTATTCATGAAAACCGTATATTCTTTAAAAACAAGCATTTTCCTTTTGCAAGTTTCACAAGTTTTCAGTCCTTTTGGACAATTTTTCATTTTGGTGAGAGACCCTTTTTAAGAAACCAAAATTAAAATTAAAGACTATGGCACATGTTGTAACAGATGGACGGTCCAATACCAGATTATATTTTAAAAACCTTTAATTTTATTACCATATTTTTTTTTTTTTTTTTTTTTTTTTTTTTTTTTTTTTTTTTTTTTTTTTTTTTTTTTTTTTTTTTTTTTTTTTTTTTTTTTTTTTTTGGTATTTGTAGTGTACGCTTTTTCCTAAATTCTATTACAAAAAACTTCTTATGACAAGTATCACATTCCTGTTGTTGTTGTTATCAGGAGAGGTAACACATTGGATTTGTTTAAAAATTAAAACATGTTAAGGGGTTGCCTGTTATCTTACAATAATCATTTAAAATAATATAGGTACATGTATTTTAAACTTTCATGTATGTAAGTGACTTTTTATCATTCTGTGCATGAATGTAGCAAGGTTCTAAACAACATATAACTGTTATATTTTATAGTTCAAATATACACAGAAAAGCAACCTGTTAGTGTTTTAGACACTGGGCCACGGGGCCATAATATTTGGGAGGAATATGGGTAAGAAGAGAAAGCAAATTTAATATTTTTAAATAGGGAACTTTGTAGTCTTAAAACTGTATAATGTTTGCATCTTTTGTTAGAATATTCATAAAGCTTATGACCGACAAGCTTTTTCAACCAGAGTAAAAAGGCGATTATTTTTATAAGCCTATAAAAATTTTTCACTGAAAAGTCTGAGGGAATTTTTGTTTAGGAAAATAAAATAAATTTTTCATACGGCTACTTACAAATCATCACTTGACTGCCAGAGAATTTTCCCACTATCTGCATCTCTAAGGTTCATCCAATTTCTGTTGTATGTTTAAGGAAAACAACATAATTTTATAAATGCTTACAAATTAACACTGATCAATTTAGTGTTTGAAATTATTTTTATAAACAGTTAAATAAACTAGACTAGCTGAGTTACAGCCAGTTTACCAAAGTAAATCTGTTACAATTAATTTGAAAACTGCAATTCTATTCAACAAAACTAATTTTAAACACAAAGTCTTTCAGACTATTCTTTTAGAGAAAATAAAATCTTCCAAGGTATAATGTTCATATATGTTAAAAAAGTGAAGGTTCACTGCGTCAAGAATTTTGAAACATTTAAAATCATGTCAAAACAAAAGTAATCAGTTATCACATGTGTCACCTAATATTGTATTAGTTAAGTATAACAGTAGTCCAGACAAAACTTTAAAATATTAAAATAATTAAAGGGCCATAACTCTGACAAAAATCATTGAACTGGAAAATGCCAACTGATATGCAGAAATTAACTTCAAAATAAAACAACTAAACATTATGTTGATCATTCCTGTAAAGTTTGGATGAAATTTCCCTATTAGTTTTTGAAGACAAGTGCTTACAAGCTTTGTGACAGACAAATAGATGGACAGACAGATAAATAATCCATATATGGTCTACACTCTGTAGAGGCAACACAAAAAAGGTATATGACTCAGTGAAGTATAATTCATCTTTGGATTAGATTTGCATTGAAAAAAATCTTTATTGATTGTTTGGTAAATAAAAACATGTTCAGTACATGGATTTCAAATATTTTGTAAAGTTGGTATGACGATATAAAATTATAAAAGGAAGTATAATTCAATAAAGAATTGATAATAAATGAACTTTAAACTATCTATATGTAAACAAGGAAGAAAAGTAGAACAATGACTAAAATTAATATAAAAACATTTTTGTTTTGATTATAAAAATAATAAAAAATATTGCCTGGCTAAAAATACATGAAGAAAATAAGATACTTTATTTTGACATGCTTTTGTCAAACAATGACCCTCATCAAGATAAAACTTAAACATTATTTATCTGCTTAATTCAGGAAGTTATAAGTAAAAATAATTCCTGGAATGCATGACTGTACAGTAATTTGTAAAGGAACTCTATGTAATTGTTCTTTACCAGGAAAGGAATATCAAAATGTATAAAATTTCAAAAATATTTTTAAAATTTGACTTTATAGTTTACAATAAAAAACAAGAAACATGGCAATGCCACGAGACCAGGTTTTCAATTATCACCATTGTAGATAAATATGTTGTATTTGAAATACAAGCAACAAACAATGTAACTATGTGCAATGTAAAACATGAATAATGTAGGAGGAATTGCCACAGAAGAAGTGTTCACTATATATTCTGTATAATGAAAAAAACAAAGGGCCATAAAAAGGTAAAAAATTATCCAATCACAAAACCCCAACAATATGCGCCAGGGCACTGGATGACAAAGCTTCTGTGAAAGTTTGAACAAAATTTGTTGAGAAATGTAGGAGTTCAGCACAGAAGAATTTGTTCACTATATATTCTGTATTTAAATACGAAAAAAAAACAAAGGGCCGTAATTAGGTCAAATATCATCCAATCACAAAACCCCAACACTATGAGCCAGGGCACTTGATAACAAAGCTTCTGTGAAAGTTTGGTCAAAATCCGTTGAAAAATGTAGGAGAAGTTGCGCATGGTAGAAATTGTTCACTTTATATACTGTATAAAGAAAAAAAACAAAGGGCCATAATTAGGTCAAATATTATCCAATCACAATGCCTCGACAATATGCGCCAGGGCACTTGATGACAAAGCTTCTGCGAAAGTTTGGTATACATACCTCAATCTGATAACCAGTTTTTTCCTTTGGAAAACCTGGTTAAAAATTACAACAATTTATTTAAAGAAGCTATTATAAACATAACTTTAATAAATAACTGAACAGATTGTTTCCCTTACATACTTGAGATTTTTTTCATGAAATGCCATGCTAAGATTCTACTTCCTCGATGAATACAAAATTTTATTTTAAAACATAGGGCCACAATGCCTAATATATCTGACACCAAATCATTTAATCCTCGTAAAAAGTTTTTAATTTCCTTCTAATTGTTCTGTCTTTGGAAGTTGATCACTAGCAGTTTTGTATATATGTTCTATTGGTTCTGCTTCTGTAAAAGAGATATTTTTATCTTACAGCCCTGCACATGGGGTATAATCACTGTCTTGAGATTGCAGAGATCCCTGACCTGTCTAATTCTAATTATCAGATTAGTGGATACAATAAGAATTTCACCACATTATTTTTTCTGTGATTTTGTAAGAACAAAAAGTTTTGCCAACTCATTTTACAACTAAATCTTTACTTAAAAGTACATATATTCCTTAGAGTATAACTATAAGTTATTATGATCAAAGACAAAAACATTTATGCAGATTTCAGTGTGTTTATAGTTGCACAATGTATATTTTTAACTATTTACTTATATATGCATAAGTGATTAAAGTTGCACTGATTGACTTAACGTGCTCAACCTTCTAAAAAAGTTGGCCTTGCTGTCTACAGTAAACCCTTTTAAATAGTGATATGTTTTGAGTGTTGGCCTAGTAATCTATCTGTGACTCAAATCATAGTCAGGAGGATTTCTTAGGTAACACAGGGAAGTCAAATTCCCTTTTTTTAAATTATCTTAAAGACTTTATAAATTACAAATGTATGTTTAAAAAACAATCAAATAATTTGTTTTTAAATATATAGATTTCTTTACCATTACCAATCAATAGAGTTTTGAGTGTCAACTGTCATTTCTATTTCTAGTACTTGGGGCAGTCTGAATTTAATGTAACTAAATGATAATCAGCAGGGTATTCCAATAAAGGAACAATCACAACTTTTTAGCTTAAGAATTATCACTGAGGTGTCTTAGCTGAAAACAGAAGCGTTGCATGAAATACCTAATGACACGTTTAAAACGAAAAATAAAACAATGAACAAAAGTATTTTTTATCCAACTTAACTGTACATAGGCTTTGCCTACTTTCATATTACTGCATACTTGGAATTTTCGGGATACGGACAAAAGCCGCCCCGGACGAAAGCCCCCCCATCTAAAAATGACAAGGTGGAAAAAAAGCCCCCCATGAAATATTTACACATAGGACAAAAGCCCCCCATCAAAAATAACAGGTAGGACAAAAGCCCCCCAGTCCATGAAACATTGTTATTGAGAATCTTCGTTCAGTTTAATTCCGGAACTTTGATGTATTGAGACAAGTCAAATGCAATTGTTTATAAGAAAATTTACATAAAGATTTAAATTTAAAGGTACTAAAAGTTCTAATTTGATTTATTGTTAATTCGTATATAATTCATTGATGATATGAATGTTTTTATGTTTATTTTATATTGTCAAGTAAAAATGTAAATGAATATTTTCAAGAGAATCATTTATCAACACTTATCAAGGAAATAAAAAGTGGAAGGGCGCATACTTTGTCTAGATTTATTTGAAGTATAACCCAAGTTCCCTAACACTGGGTGTGTGAAAAAAGATAGTTAAGAGTCTGGTCTATAAACCTTAGGGGGGCTTTTTGTTTGCTGGACTGGGGGGGGGGGGGTGCTTTTGTCCCTACTTTTATTTTTGATCGGGGGGGGGGGGGGCGTTTGTCCTATTTGTAAATTTCATGGGGGGCTTTTTGTCCACCTAAACATTTTTTAGAAGCCCTGGGGACTTTTGTCCCTACACTCTGAATTTTTCCTGTAATTCTAATTCAGGCCATCCAATAATTTAAAATAACTAGAAATGTGGTCCATAGGACACGGATGCCCCCACAACGGCACACTGTTCTGTCAATCTTATGACTCTAGGTCAAATATTTTTTGGACTAACATGTAGCCCCACAAGTTGAAAAACTAAAAATCAACAGGGCCATAATTCTTAAATTTGGTCGCAAGCAAAAAATTCTAAATCCTTTAACTACCATCTACACATTTTTAGGCTGTTAATCCCTGGAAGTTAAGCAAAATCTGCCATCCGCTTTTAAAGAAGAGTTGCATTCACAAAATTTCTACATGGTATAGAGTGAAAAAATCAACAAAGGGTCATAATTCTGTAAAATTTGGTCGCAGCGAAAATTCCTTCCTTTACTACCATCTACACCATAAGGTTGTTCATCCCTGTAAGTTTAAGCAAAATCTGCCATCCAGTTTAAGCATACATGTTAACTTTTTCTGGTGCCAAGTAGGGAGATTTGACCATAAAAGTAGGTAGATTGATCTTCTGTTGGGAGGAGATTTTTGGAAACCAGACTTTTTGCGTACAGGAAGGTCTTAACACACAATAATTAAAAGTCATTAACTACAAGTTCTTTTAAAAACATTTTATTTTGCATGATAACTAATTAAACCCAATTTTATCATTAAAAAACTTTCTTTATAAAACATAACATGTTTTTTTTTCCACTGCACTTGTGTTTGATGTTTAAGTAATTTAGCTCAACTTTCACTTAACACACTTTACACAATTGAACTGTCTTTATATGTCTACATGTTTTTTGACTTCACTGTACACAAGTGTTAGCTAAATGGCATACACAGCCCATAATAAGACAATCAGGTTGCTTCTCACGAATACGAGATAGGACAGAGTTGTGAACGGCCAACCATCCGACACTAGCGTTGTCAGACCCATACCCAATGCATCTTGCTTCCATGGTATATTTCTGATCCCTGAAACAGAAAAAAAATATCAATTATCATACCTAATATATATATTCATCATTTCATCAATTTTAAAACAATTTAAATTGATCCTTCCACTTAAATGTATAAATCATAACCTTACAGAATATTACATTTTGTAGACACCTGTCGTGGATGCGTGTTAATCCCCATGACAATTAACAATTTTCATACAAAATAACATAATTGGCATAAAAATTGACAGTGGTATTTTGTTTAACAATAAGGGTACTTACCAGATTTTAGTCTCCTCGCATGTGCCTGTTATCAGCAATTTTATAACCCCGAAGTCAAGCTGTGAAAAACTGACAATATACAAACAAATTTGCCAATACCAAGGTCAAGGCGTAATAGACTGTGTTACATTTTTAGTGAAATATGGGTAAAACGAATCGATAAATGTTTACACTGATCATTGATTACCGAAACGCTTGTGTTGTAAAATTTTTATTGCTTTTGAAATGAAATATCGGTAGTTTGTAAACCCCGAGCGGTAGGGGGGTCTTAGTTGGCCAAAATCGGTAGTCTACCGCCCAAATCGGTAGGGTTCACAAGTATGGTTTAAGAGGAGTTGCGTTCACAAAATTTCTACATAGTTTATAGTGAAAAAATCAACAAAGGGCCATAATTCTGTTTTAAATTTGGTCGCAGCAAAAATTCCTTCCTTTACTTCCATCTACACATTAAGGTTGTTCATCCCTGTAAGTTTAAGCAAAATCTGCCATCCGGTTTAAGAGGAGTTGCGTTCACAAAATTTCAACATAGTATCTAGTGAAAAAATCAACAAAGGGCCATAATTCTGTTAAATTTGGTCGCAGCGAACAGGGTTCTCGGGGACGCTTATTTCGGCGTCCCGGTACGCATGTTTATTACAGCTGGACGCAATTATTTCAGAGCAAGGATTCCACCTACGCTTAATTTTGCCTGGGGACGCATAAAATTACCGATTGTTTACAACCACAAATACACAAATACGTCAGCGCGTGTCAGTCTATAGGTAGGCGGTCCTATGCACATAGACCCGTGAAGCGATTAGCCAATCAGCGATAACGCTTCCGGTCATTATCTCGCAATAGTGATCAGACTAATGTATACACGCGCTGTACATGTAAATACCAGATATAACACAAGGTGATAATTTTATATCTTTGATCAACAGTTGATTGGAAATTGGCAAATTTTACCGACAAAAGGATAAAATTATCGACTATTTACGCCGCAAGTTTAAAGACTGTTTCTCAAATTATAAATGAGTGTAATTTTGAATGATTGTCGAATATTTTCGGCATTTTCTAGGCACAATTTTGCTTTAGTTTCATTCTTGCAAAAACGTTCTACAATAGTATTAAGAATTTAAGATATTATGCCGAAATGCCAAGACAACAAACAAAAATACACATATGCTTTTCTTTGATCCGAAAATTGATCCCGAACATCGGCGATTTCACGTTCGCCAGAAACCCTAAAATTTCGCAAAAATTCTCAGTTTCCAATCCAAACACGTGAATGAATTGTTCTTTTATTATTTAATCAACATTAAATCTTTAAATATCGATCTTCAATTTGCCCCCTTTTGGAGATATTTGCTAAAATAATTGCCGTTCGGATGAATCTCTTACACACTGTGTGAAGCTGTACACGATTTTCCTATTCATTCCGCTAAACGCTGCCTATATACATTTACGATTTTTTTTTTACAAATATAAACTTTTTGTCTTAAGAGTGGACTTATTTAACCAGAATAAAATTTGATTTGGTATAAATGTGAAAAAAAAACACAAAAAAAACACCATAAATTGTGTTGATGCATTATAATGAAATAATTTCATAATAAATATTAACAACAAAACAATAATTCAGAGGTTTTTTTTGAATAACTATACAGTAAACTTTGAAAGTCTCTTGAAGATTCAAAATATCAGCAATGCTATTGTGAGCATTGAATGACTAATCTATAAACATATTAATTGCGACGCGCTTTTGGACTCCAACTTTTTCAGGGTTGGGAGTCCATGTTTTAAAGTCCTAGTGAGAACCCTGAGCGAAAATTCCTTCCTTTACTACCATCTACACATTAAGGTTGTTCATCCCTGTAAGTTTAAGCAAAATCTGCCATTGGGTTTAAGACGAGTTGCGTTCACAAGATTTCGGGAGGTAAGGACGGACAAGTGCAACGCTATATGCTCCCACATTGTGGGGGCATAAAAAGCACTTTACTCTTTACTTTTATTGCTGACAAAGGGGTATCGGGGCTACTGTCCCCAATATGAAACAGATGAGCAATGGAATGATAAAACAAAAATTTATGACTTATCAGACTGTTGTTTTTTTTCATAACCATGCATTAGAAATTTCTGTGCATACTATTAAAATGAATTTGTCACCAATTTTGCACTTGTCTTCAAATCTATTCAGACAGGGTCCTGAAAATGTGACTGAAAAAAAAATGTCCTGAAATTGAAATTTATTCTGATATTTCTAAAGTTTGAAATTGACAAAAACTTGATAAAGTCATCTGGAAGGATACAGTTTAAATCCTTTCATGATATCTTCAGCACGTGACGGCATTTTGAGGTTCGTAAAAGTGACGACAAAAAAGAAATTTCAGCTGTCCGTTTCCAACAGGTTCCCTATGTCAACAATCCAATATGGCCGACTTCCGCTACGTACTTCTTTTCTTCCGCGTAATAGGTAAACAATGGCACAATAATGTGCTTAAAGAGAACCATTGATGCAACTTTAAATGTAACTTATATATTTATTAAACTATGGTTACTATTCATAATTTGAAAATATGACTTTCAATCAAATAGTAAGTGCTAAACTTTTGAACTATTTTATACCAAAGTTTGAAAGCAACTACTTCCGGATAGATGTCCTTAGGTTCAAAAATTAGGACTATGTTATAATCTGTGGTTTATTTTGATTTATTTTTTAGTCCTATATACTTAGACATAGAAGCAATTGAGGTGTCAATACATTGAATCAAGAAGGTAAGTACGATAATTTGAATTATTACTTTCTACAGACAGAATGATCAAGTTTATCATTTTACATTGAATCTATGGAGTTCATGCCCATATCATGATGTTTTTTGATTGCATTTTAAATCTGTATTATTTGATTTCCTTTCAAATATACACATGTAGTCTAAAGCCCGACAAGCCAGCTTCACATGGCCTATGACTTCCCCAAAAATAGCATATTTTGATTTGAGATGAAACATGATAATTTGGCCCAAAGTTAAAAGGCAGGTGTACCACATGTAAACGTACTGGGCACATTTAAAATTTCACATCCCATATGTCATGCAAAACTTGGGTTTGATATTATAATGGAGTAATTTTTTTCAAGAAAGGAAAAAAATGCTGCAAAAAATTTCGACATCATCCACAGGCCTCAAAAAAGCCCCCGTCAAACCACTGGCCCGCTTCATTTTTCCCAAGGAAAGTCCGGGCAGGAAGAAAAAGTTAATCAAAAATCGCCACCCCCAGTACCAAAAGATGTTTTTCAAACATGTATAAAATTAAAAATTTTTCGACAAAAAAATCCTCTCAGGCGCGTTTTTTAATTTCAAAAAAGATTTTGTCAAAGGAAACTGGGAAATTGTCTGGTAAGATAAAAATAAGCCTCTCCTTCATTTACAGCAGCAATAACCAATGTTTTACACATACAGGTTTGGTTAAGTTTTATACTTAGCGGCAATAGCCATGAGATCAATTCCACAGCTAAGTGCTTTTAGAATCTGAATGAAATAAGTATACAGGCTAAAGTATGAAGAATAGTATTAAAAATAATATGTGATTGAATAAAGCCAGTTATACCTATAGACTGGTAAATAGTAAATTTGAGTAATGTGGTTTTGATTATAACTTTGTAAAAAGGGGCATAATACTGAAAGCTATATTTTTTGAGTAATGCCCCTTTTTAACTTAGAATTTTTTACAGACAAGCGCTAATATTGCATGTAATGTTTTTATTTTCAGATAACAACTCACAATGGCAATGAGAAATCTTGTGGAAGGGGAATGTGGCGGGTCAAATGCCCTGATGAAATTGACGTCACACATGACCAAAGACAGAGCTATGAGACAGGTTTGTTTTATCATCATCTTTTTAACAATTTCTGTTAAACGAAATGTAATTAGGTAATAATACTTATACTTCAAGTTCTTAAAGTTGTCAGGGTAGCTGGATTTTAAAATCATTGAGAGTTGTTGATGTTCTGAAAAGAAATTTTTTGTTTTGAATTTTTAAAGGCATAGAGAGAGTTACAAAAATGATTAAAAAAAAGATCAGCCCTAAGTATGATAGATGAATAAGTTATTATTAATCACTTTCTTCTTACACAAAATTATGAGACCTACCATGGATTTGCTGGGAATGATTCTTGATGAATTAAGATTATTTAAACATTATGCTTGCCTTAAGATTATTTAAACATTATGCTTTAAGGCAAGAAGTAGGAACTTGTAGATATTTTAAATTAGAAATAAAAACACACAAGTTAGATTTGTGACTTGGAAATTATGGAGAAAATGTGCAACATGTTCAAAGTTTATAAAATTATTTTCTTTGTAAGTCTTTATATCAGTAAATTATTTGCTCTCTGACTGATTATGTGTTAAGCCTATTTATCACATAAACCGCGGCGCAGGAGTGTAATAAAGCCATTTAATAAAACCGATATTACACTAGACGATATTACACTAGTGTAATAACACTTTGACGTCACGTCATTTGCGTTATAAACATAGCGTTAAAGCGCGCTAATGTTAGCGTGACACTATAGGCGCGTCAGAGAAAAATGACTCTTGATAACAGTTTACCGTTCTTATTTTATATACGTGATAAATAGAATATTATATTCGTGTAGATTCAATACTAAATTTATTGAACTCGTTGAATAAAAGAATATTATGCTCGCCAGAGGCTCGCATAATATGATTTTATTTAACTCGTTCAATAAGTTTAGTATTAAACCTACACTCATTCAATATCCTCTATTTATTTCATTACATACATAAACATGCATTCATTGAAAATTTTGCAGAATAAAATTGTCCCATTAAAGTTAATATATATATTTTACTTTATAGGAAGGTTTCTTACCTACTAGGCCTGGTTCCAGAGTACAACACCCTGTAAGTAGATTAGATACTATAAATGTTTATTTTATATATCATTTATGTATTTAAACTAGATTTACATGTTTAACTAGTTTACAAGACCAGATTAGCATATATTTACAGTGCTATACAGTATACATGTATATTATTAACTTTATTAACTTCTATCACAATTGGATTTTCATATATTTTAATTAATTTTACAGATTGAAAGACCTCTAGCTGAAGCAGCCCCCCATGAAGTATGTATTATTTTATGTAAACTGTGAATCTTTTGTGATTGATTTATCAAGTAATCAATAAGTTGATTGATTTATCAAGGAATTAATAGGTTGTTAATAAAAAGTACTGCTACTACAACAAAATGATTTGTAAAAAAGTAAATTTAAGAAATAGTTAAAAATATAAACAGGTTACCTACAATTTTAGCTTGACAGATCAAGGAATTTGGAGAGCTATGTTACTCACCCCGGTGTTGGTGTTGGCGTCACGCTTGTGATAATTTTTTAATGTAAGTTGGTATCTCAAAAAAAACAAACAACTGGGAAACTCTAACAAGATACAAAAAAAAAACAGTTTTGTTTAAATAAAAATGATAGCATTTCTGACGCATAATGGGCCTTTAAATTAAGTCAGAAGTCACATGTTAAGATTTGAAGTAAGAATTTTTGTTTTGTAGATAGTAAAGTGACAACAGTATCTCTGATTGTATTTTACTATGTTTTTTTTTTAGCTAGTGGATGAGTTCTTGGGTAGTCAAAGGGTTGCTATGGCACCGCAGACATTCCACATGGGCAGTTTACTACAGGAAATGAGGGAGATAGAGGGCGCTGAACAACATTTTGTTCCACAAAGAGGTAAGAGTTTTACTACAATACCCTCAATGTATTATTATCCCCCGCCGATGGAATCGGGAGGGGGATATAGTTTTGGCGTTGTCCGTCCGTCCATCCATCCGCACTCACAGGAGAGTAATTATGTGGCTAGAGGGACAATAGGTAACTGTTCTTTCTCTTTGATGTCATTCATTCCGTAATGCTTTTATGTGGCTATTTTCTTTTGTGTGGCTAAAAAGAACAATAGAGAGAACAATAGAGTAGCCACATAATAACTGTCCTGTGAGAACGGCCGTCCTTCCGTCCGTCCATCCGAATTTCGTTTCCGGAGTAGTTCTCTGCAACTACTGGCTGGAATTCAACGAAACTTTATGGGAATCATCAATATCAAGAGGAGATGCACATATCGTCAGCTTGTTCCGGTCAGGCCCTTGATTAGTTATGCAGTATACATATAGAGTAAAATTTTGTTTCCGGAGTAGTTCTCTGCAACTACTGGCTGGAATTCAACGAAACTTTAGGGGAATCATCAATATCAAGAGGAGATGCGCATATTGTCAGCTTGTTCCGGTCAGACCCTTTGACTCAGAGTTATGGCCCTTGATTAGTTATGTAGTATGCATATAGAGTAAAAATCGTTTCCGCACTACTTCTCTGCAACTACTGGCTGGAATTCAACAAAACTTTATGGGAATCTTCAATACCCAGAGGAGATGTGCATATCGTTGCCTTGTTCTGGTCAGACACTTTAACTCAGAGTTATGGCCCTTGATTAGTTATGCAGTATGCATATAGAGAAAAAATTGTTTCCGGACTAGTTCTCTGCAACTACTGGCTGGAATTCAACAAAACTTTATGGGAACCTTCAATACCAAGAGGAGATGCGCACATCGTCGCCTTGTTCCGGTCAGACACTTAAACTCAGAGTAATGGCCATTGATAAGTTATGCAGTATGCATATAGAGCAAAAATCTTTATGGCGCTACTTCTCTGCAACTACTGGCTGGAATTCAATGAAACTTTATTGGAACCTTCAATACCAAGAGGAGATGCGCATATTGTCACCTTGTTCCGGTCAGACACTTAAACTCAGAGTTATGGCCCTTGATTAGTTATGCAGTATCCATATAGAAAAATATTAGTTTCCTCGCTACTTCTCTGCAACTACTGGCTGGAATTCAATGAAACTTTATTGGAACCTTCAATACCAAGAGGAGATGCGCATATTGTCGCCTTGTTCGGGTCAGACATTTTAACTTAGAGTTATGACCCTTGATAACTTAGGCAGTATACAACCAGAGCAATAATCGTTTCCGTGCTACTGGCTGGAATTCAATGAAACTTTATGGGATACTAAGAGGAGATGTGCATATAGTCGCCTTGTTCCGGTCAGATACTTATAACTCAGATTTATGGCCCTTGATTAGTTATGTAGTATGCATACATCTCATTGGCATTTCCAGATATTACTATTTAACACAAAGTTATGGCTCTGTTATTGCCCTGAATGTTTATCAAGTTCAAAGAATATTACTGTTTATGCCATGATTAATATATAAATAAAGCCTCATGTTTTCAGTTGTAGTTGTTGCTGACTTCAGCACACTTGTTTTTCATTGCTGTGAGTTCAAATTTTACCTTGAATAAAGAATTCTATCATGTGAGGAAGCTATCTTGCTAGCTTGATAAAGGTAAGTGGTTCTACAGGCGGTGTTTGCTTGTGACTGAAATGATTCACAAACGCACTCCTGAGATTTCCCTCACCAGTAAAGGTGGAATGTGACCATATGAATATAACAATTAGACAGTGTGACCATGGATTCAACAGAAAGAATATTGTTTTGGCCTTTGCTGCGTGTATATCCCATATATTGCACAGATTCAACATTACTTTTGGACAGTTCATGCGCCATTGAATATTTCCTATATAACTGATGTAAAGAGTGTTTTAACAATGTGGCTTTGAAATTTTTAGGAAAGTTGAATGTTTTATTTGAAAATGAAATGTATATGCAATGTTTTACTTCGATGAAAGTGTGTGTCTACAATATATTGTCAGTGTATCTGTAATGGAACCATAGTTCTTTATCTAACTTAATTGATCAGTGAAAAAATGGATATAATGAGCATTATAAGAACAACAATGTTATAATGTTTGGTAGGACCAGCAATTGCAGAGATGGCAATAACAGATCCTGGAGGGTGGGCCAGTGATTTTCTAGAAACAGAGAATGAGAAACCAGATGATTGGTCACATGACTTTCTTGGTAACGCCCCTAGCAACCAGATATCAAGAGTTCCACCAATGAACATGAAGTGGGCGGAGGAATATTTAGATCAGACTGAACACAGACCTTGGTAAGTGAACTTTCTCTTCATATAAATATTTCTATTTAATCCATCATACAGTATATATTAACTTTTTGAATGCTTATAGCCAGGGCAGCCATCTTTAGTACAGTGAAGGTTTAGAAGATTAAAAAATAATTTGACTCTCCTTATTTGTAACAAAGGGAGGTAAATATTACATGATAATTATCATGCAGTATGGTATATTTTAGTTTTATTTCAATGATTTTACAAATGTACTACTCTGTTGGAAACAAAGGGAGGTAATTGTTACATCATATACTCCTTTGATTTGAGGATATGGCTCAGTAAGAAAAACTGTTGAAGGTATTATTAGACCAGTCTTACAAGTTACAATAAAAATAGTTTGAAAACACCCTGGTGTTGGACACGTTGTTCTTCCCTCTTCTTATTATCCAATCTGTTTTAAATCTGTTTTATGTTTTCCATCCACTAGGACTGAGGAATCAGAAAGAGAAATTTTAGATGACAGTAAATGGATTGATGATTTCCAGGCCGGTGATAATGACTTACAGAAGACAGCACAAGAACTTCTAGACAGTGTTGATGATCCAAAACTTAACAGTTCAGAGGTAGTTTATTATTGTATGGTATTTGTCCATCATTCTTAAAGTCTCTAAATGGCAAATTTCTGTTGAGATATTTAAAGTGATTAATAAACTCTTCTATATTCATTGAATTGTGCCTTGTTTTGACTTTGCTGTGTTGGGAGAAATTGTATATAGTTATCATATCCTAGTGAGGGTGATACAAGGAAAGGTTCACTGGAGATCACTTTGTCAAGCTATATCAATTCACTGTATTACTAGCTCATCAGTTTCAAAGAAAAAAATCAAGCTCTTGTAATGACTGTGTTGTTGTTGTCATTGTGGTTGAAAACTTTATGTAGCCTATTATTTGAACATATTAAAAGTTTTCAGCATGAGGAATACTTGCTTATCATGATAACAAGGTGAAGTTGTTAGACAAAGGGCATAATTCTGAAAGCCATATGGAGTTATGCCCCTTTTTACTCAGAATTTATTCAAAATTGGTTATTTATAGTCATTTCCATTTACAGATGAGCATAAACACCACATGTGGTACTTTTGTTGTTAATTTAATTATAAAATAAATCTAATCATTATGTCAAAGAAATTTGCCATTTAGTGCACATATGCATAAATTCATACCACCTTCCTTATTCAAAATGTATATTCTGTACCTATATACAGTATAATCAGAAATGCTTTTTATGTTCTCACAACTTTTCAAACACACCTAAATAAACACTTCTATTTTTCTTCAATATTCAATGTATCTTTATTTTCATTGATTGATTTTTAGTGTAATTATTCTTGAATATATAGACTTCCTTTATTATTTGATTAACTTCTCACCAACCACCAGAAACTTTGCATATGTCTTGATCATAATTTGAGGTCACTGTACAATGCCCATAACTTTATTTCATTATGGACCTTTGTGGACTTAATATTGGTTAATGTTTTTTAACCAGGTTTTCCGAAGGAAAAAACTGGTTATTAGATTGAGGTATGTCGGCAGGCGGCAGGCGAGTGGGTGGGCGGGCGTAAACAATTTCTTCTGTGTGCAACTCCTCCTACATTTCTCACATATTTTGACCAAACTTTCACAGAAGCTTTGTCATCAAGTGTCCTGGCGCATATTGTCAGGGTTTTGTGATTGGATAATATTTGACCTAATTATGGCTCTTTGTTTTTTTCCTTATATAGAATATATAGTGAACAATTTCTTCTGTGCGCAACTCCTCCTACATTTCTCAACGGAATTTGACCAAACTTTCAGAGAGGCTTTGTCATCAAGTGCCTTGGGGCATATTGTCAGGGTTATGTGATTGTATAATATTTGACCTAATTATGGCCCTTTGTTTTTTTTCCTTATACAGATTATATAGTGAATAATTTTTACCATGCGCAACTTCTCCTACATTTCTCAACAGATTTTGACCAAACTTTCACAGAAGCTTTGTTATCAAGTGCCCTGGCGCACATTATCGGGTTTTGTGATTGGATAATATTTTACCTAATTATGGCCCTTTGTTTTTTTTCCTTATACAGAATATATAGTGAAAAAATTCTTCTGTGCTGAACTCTCAACGGATTTTGTTCAAACTTTCACAGAAGCTTTGTCATCCAGTGCCCTGGCGCATATTGTCAGGGTTTTGTGATTGGTTAATTTTTTTATCTAATTATGGCCCTTTGTTTTTTTTCCTTATGCAGAATATATTTTGAACACTTCTTCTGGTGCAATTCCTCCTACATTATTCATGTTTTACATTGCACATAGTTACATTGTTTGTTGCTTGTATTTGTATTTCAAATACAACATATTTATCTACAATGGTGATAATTGAAAACCTGGTTTTGTGGCATTGCCATGTTTCTTGTTATCATCTGTGCTTGAAATAACAAACAGAAGAGCACCCGAGGTCTTTATCAACCAGTAAAGCTGGAAAGTCACCATATGACCTAATCTATGTTGGTGCAGTGAATAATCCAACAACAAACCTAATAAAAATGTTTTGTATGCAATAATTTTGGTTAAAGTTTTGTATGGACAAGTTTAAGTTAAAGTTTTGCATAAAAGATGAGTGTTCAAAACTACTGACAGTATCCAAATGTCTTTTTGTGTATGCCTACCATTATCCAGGCTCTTGCTTTACTATCAAGCACAGACAATAGTCAAGTGCTACTTGCAGTTCTTCTGTTTGTAATCCTTACCCTTTTTGTAAAAACTCATAGTAATATAATGGTCACATAGAAACAGATTTATTGTTGATTTTATACATGGTTATGGGAAGCATTCGTATTTCATTGTAATTTTTTCTTATGTTAAATATAAGTTTTAGACAGGAAACAGTCTTTGTGGAATTTGGAAACCTGTGTTGCATTGAATTTTAGAATATTCAAAACTTTCTGGTAAAACAATGGAAAGAAATGTTAATCTGTTACGTTCTATGTATATATTTTTTAGAAGGTAAGAAGCAAAACATAGACAATATTGCTTGCCTTCTGCAATTATAGCAAGTCAAGTGTAAACCCCTAAATATTCTTATGTTAATATATCTAAAAAATGTTGTACTTTTTTGGCTGGACTATTTGAAGAAAAGGGAGAGCTATAAGTTCAGAAAAGGGCCAGAGGCTCTGGCCCTTTTTGAACTTTGAAAATTGTATATTATCCAGGCATTGTTTAACTATTAAGCGCTAGGAATACAATTTTTTTATCTTTCAAAGTTTATCTATGGTATACAAAAAACATTTCATTTCATCATACACGTTTTCAGCATACATATTAATTTGACATGACATATCATTAAAAGTTAAACTAGTAACATTTTTTTTTATCGTTCACAGTTTATCAGATTTGTTAAAAAGATCAGTGAGGGGGATGTAACAATTAAAGATAATGAAGTGATAGAAAAATCAGTTGATGATAAATCTGAGGAATGGGCCAATGAATTTGCTATGAAAAATCAAGAAACCCTACCAAATAGTCAGGTACTGATAACAATTGTAAATATTTACGTCCTATGCACCAGTCAATTATAATCCTGGCTTTACTACACTAGGGGGAGGGGGAGCAGAGATTTTGACATATGGATAATGAATCCCTTTGTAAAGGCATTGCTCTTTGGGGACAGTCGAATGGTAAAACACAGGAAAATGTCTTTCATGTTTCAAGTGGGGGCCTATCCACCCAAAAAAAAACAAACCATTTATCTCCTGGAAACAGGGTTTAAATGGTTTAAAATTTAAAAAAATTTTTTTCATTACCCCGGTTTTTCTCAGCTCTTGGGGATAAATGGGGGGGGGGGTTTGGGAGGGGTTTTTTTGGGGGCCTGTTTGAAAATTAGGGGCAATTTTAAAGCGTTTTTGGCTTTTGATTACCTTAGCTTTTCCCCACCATTCCTTATACCTATTTAATCTGATTAAAAAATAAATTTATTGAGAACAATATAAAAATAAAATTTAAACAATACTATAACAGGGTTTCTTGCTTTCAATTTATTCCCCCTACATTCGTGCTTTTCTTTTTTAAAAAATTAATTCTACCCTTTTAAAGATGAGTTCAATTAGATTTAGTAAATGATTGATTTTCATACATGTTTTTTTTGTTTATTTCAAGTAATTTTTCCCGTATTTTCTTCATCAGTACACCAAAATCAGTTGTAACAATTGTTTTTGAAATGCAAATTTAGGCATTGTTGAATATTTTTTCTGTTGACATATTGTTTTTTGTTTTTTTTTGTTTATTGATTTCTAGCTTTTAGAGGCACTGACATTCTATTCTCTTTAATACTTCAATAGCTACATGTACATGTTATACAAACATGTTGTATGTAAGTTTTTTGGCTTAAGATACATGTCTTGTAGCAGTTTCTGTTTTTATGTAACAACATTTATAGCAATGCTCTTTAGTAATAAAAATTTGGAGAGCATGTAGATTAATAATGTATTACAATTGTACTTCTGTCAAACTTAACACTCTTCACATCATGTATTTAGCATGGAGTTCTAATTTTCAAATTTTCAAATTTTTTAAATCACATGTAAGAATGAAGAATTATTTAAGGTTTGTTCCATATTTATCTAATTGAATAGCTCTTTTAAAACTTTATTAAGATTTTCTCATTATGCTCCCCGAAAAAATTTCGGGGGAGCATATTAGTCGCCGCCTTGTCCGTCGTCCGTTCCGGGCCGTCCGTCGTCCGTTTCCGTCCGTTCCGTCCGTCCCCTTTTCTTTGTCCGGGACATAACTTTGAAAACAACAAGAGGTATCAACATGGAAACTTTGTAGGTAGATAGATCTCATTAAGTAGGTGTGCAGTTGCACAAAGAACCGGTAACTCTGCCTTGCCTAATTTTGAATTATTCCCCTTTGTTTATTTTTACACTTTGAACTTTTGTCCGGACATAACTCTAAAAGTATAAGAGGTATCAACATGAAAAACTTTGTAGGTAGATAGATCTCATTGAGTAGAAGTGCAGTGCACAAGAACGTAACTCTGCCTTGCCTAATTTTTTGAAATTATTCCCCTTTGTTTATTTTACACTTTGAAACTTTGGTCCGGGACATAAACTCTAAAAGTATAAGAGGATCAACATGAAACTTTGTAGGTAGATAGATCTCATTGAGTAGAAGTGCAGTGCACAGAACCGTAACTCTGCCTTGCCTAATTTTTTAATTATTCCCCTTTTTTATTTTACACTTGAACTTTTCCGGGACATAACTCTAAAAAAGTATAAGAGATATCAAACATGAAAACTTTGTAGGTAGATAGATCTTCATTGAGTAGGTGTGCAGTGCACAAGAAACGCGTAACTCTGCCTGCCTAATTTTTTTGAATTATCCCCTTTGTTTATTTTACACTTTGAAATTTTGTCCGGACATTAACTCTAAAAGTATAAGAGGTATCAACATGAAACTTTGTAGGTAGATAGATCTCATTGAGTAGGTGTGCAGTGCACAAGAACCGTAACTCTTGCCCTTGTCTAATTTTTGAATTATCCCCCTTTGTTTATTTTACACTTTAACTTTGTCCGGACATAACTCTAAAAGTATAAGAGGTATCAACATGAAACATTTGTAGGTCTAGATAGATTCCATTGAGTAGGTGTGCAGTGAACAAGAACCTTAACTCTGCCCTTGCCCTAATTTTTTGAATTATCCCCCTTTGTTTATTTTTTACACTTTGAACTTTGTCCGGACATTTTCTTAATGTATAAGAGATATCAACATGAAACTTTGTAGGTAGATAGATCTCTTGAGTAAGTTTTGCAGTGCACAAGAACTGTAACACTGTCTTGCCCTACTTTTGGAGTTATTGCCCTTTGTTCAATTTTGACACTTTGAACTTTGTCTGGACATTACTCTAAAATTATAAGAGATATTAACATGAAACTTTGTAGATAGATAGGTCTCATTGGGTAGGAAGTGCATGTGCTTAAGAATCATTACTTCTGGCCTTGCCTTATTTTGAAGTAATTGCCCCTTTGTGTATTTATTTTAAACTTTTTTTGACTTTTGTCCTGGACATTACTTTAAAAAAAACTATTAGAGATATCAACATGAAACTTTGTAGGTAGCTAGATGTAATTGGAATAGAAAACTGCAACGCTTCAAGAACCTAAACAAAGCCTGGTCTAATTTTGGAGTTATTGCCCTTTGTTCATTTTTTTTATACTTTCCTGTGTCCAGAACCTTCTCGGGGAGCATCACCCGGTTCAACCGGTTCTTGTTAACATTATTTGATGATTTGATAGTTTTGTTGAAGTAATAAGCTGCCAATTTAAGGCTGATACAGTGACAAAGGTAGCATATACAAATGGTAACTATTCACTACTATCTATGGTAAAATATTGTTGGATATAACAAATGTTAACTATTCACTACTATCTGTATAATTATTTTACAGAGATCACTGGTAGATAAATGGGAGGAGGAGTTTATGTCAGAGAAGAGTGCTAATGATGCTGAATTCTGGGAGAAACTTGAACAACATTGGCAAGATGTAGCACAGTAAGTTTTGATAAATAATTCAAGTATTTAATCTTATGTATAGACCCAGGTCTGCCTACACATCCAAGCAGTGTGACCAGTTGGCTTAAAAAGCCCTTTAGAGCTTATGTTATTATATGTTTTATTTTACTTTATATGAATTATAAATAAATATTTAACTCATTTTTTGCTGTTTTATAGCTCTGTTTTATACTCTTAGAATAAGGAGGCATAGGCATCACACTTCATGCAAGTTGGTATCTCAAAAACTACAGAAAGGAATGGGTTGAAACCGCACATACTCATTTGAGAGCATAATATCACTTTCTAAGGCCTTTAACTCTAACTTGAATTTGACAGAATTATGGCCCTTTTGGAACTTAGAAAGTTATTCATTTGATATTGAAACCTTTCAAACTGACATTGGACTGATCTTGATTCAGAGCAGGGCAAGTTGATTTTTCAAAAGTGGGAGGTGTCATTTTCATTTATATTCAAGTTTAAATTAAAAGAAAGGGCATAAAAATGACCACTCAATTAGCACAGCTTAATTCAAAGAATAGTTACGTCTTTAAGAAATATAATTGAAGGTTTAGATTAAGCCCTTGTTAAAGAAAAGCTCCAGAAAAAAAAAAAAGGGTTTAAAAAACTTCAATGCCTAAACCTGATGAAGAAAGTTTTATTTGTCATAAACTTTGATTTCAGGTCAGGAGAAGAAAATGCATGGTTGACAGATTTTGAAAACACACAGCCATATAAGGTAATGCATTCTGTTGATTTACTTTAATATGTAACTTCTGAGAAAATGTACCTAGTTTGTATGTCAAAATCAATCCAGTACTTAAAAGCTACCAGCACATATCGATGGCTGAACGCAACACTGGTCTAACTTGATTTTTTTTCAAAAATGACTTTTTTGCATTTTTTAGTCTTATTGCATGAAATACATCAGTAAATAAAATATTAGAAATGTTTGTAAAATTTTATGGGTTTTATTTACCACTTGGCATTTTGCTCTATCTCAAATATGATTATAACTTAAATGCAACAGGAGAGCTAACTCAAGTTAGAACTGTGTTGCATTAATCAAAATTTACTTATTGGATGATAACACTGTACTAACTCTAGTTAGCACAGTGTTGCTGTTAAATTTGAATTACAATAAATTTCAGTATTGTTATATTTGCAGATATTAAGTTAGGTCTGGCATATTCATAAATACTAATATTTCTACATTTTACCCATTTTTGTTGCCAAAAATTGCAGAATTGTAAATCCAAGGCTCTTAATTAATTGTATTTTGTTTTCAAGGAACATTTATAAGTTTAAATTTGCTATATTATCTCTACATAGTCATATAAGATTGAAATAAAAAATAATAGTTAATTAACCTTTCAAAAAGATTTTATTACAATATTTTAATCATATAATTCACTGTTGATGAAAATTATTTACAAGACAATTTGTGTTGTTTTTAGTTGTTGTTGTTATAAATCATAGTAAATCTATTAATACTGATGAAACTAGATCTCCCACCCTTCCAAGATTTATAATATTTTAATACAATTTGCTCCTAATTCTTAAAGGGACTTCAATTTTGGCATCATGGGACTTAAAATATATTTTCGAGATTTATGTACAATTTGATGACGGTCTGGACAAATAACTTGTGGTGTAAAAACTTTCAGATTATTTGCTAAGTTTTTTCCCAGAGCAGTTATGTGAACTATAAGAATGACCGGATATTGAAAAGCATATTAATGCAGCTTTAAACTCAAATTAGATTCTAATAGAACCATGATAAAATTTTCAATTTCATGTTAAGAATAATTTCTTTATATCTCTTGTGTATCTTTTTGTTTATGTGGCCCAAGTTGATGTTGATTCCTTTCAGAAATTCAAATCTTAAGTTTTTATGCTTTTGGACCTCAGTGAAGTTTCTTTAAGTATCTGTATGTATAATAAGGATTGTAATCATTTAAATAAAACTTTTGGTTTGGTTGGTTTTACAGCGCACCAACACAATTGAGGTCCTATGTCGCTGAAATAGGAAAGATTTTTTTTTGCACATTAGATAGGATTATCTTCTGTTTACACCGGTGCTAGAAAAACCTGTTTTACATCCCCCATGTAAGACAAGTCAATGTTTTTAAATGAAGTCATTCCCAATGTCAATGTTAGTGATATTATAGTAAATGGGGACAATGCTGGTGATATCATAGTAAATGGGAACAATGCTGATGATATGAGGGTTAGTTGGGACAATGCTGATGATATCATAGTAAATGGGGACAATGCTGGTGATATGAGGGGTTAGTTGGGACAATGCTGATGATATCATTATAGTAAATGGGGACAATGCTGATGATATGAGGGTTAGTTGGGACAATGCTGATGATATCATAGTAAATGGGGACAATGCTTGATGATATGAGGGTTAGTTGGGACAATGCTGATGATATCATAGTATATGGGGACAATGCTGGTGATATGAGGGATAGTGGGACAATCTGATGATATCAATGGGGACAATGGTGATATGAGGGGTTAGTTGGGACAATGCTGATGATATCATTATAGTAAATGGGGACAATGCTGATGATATGAAGGGTTAGTTGGGACAATGCTGATGATATCATAGTAAATGGGGATAATGCTGGTGATATGAGGGTTAAGTTGGGACAATGCTGATGATATCATAGTAAATGGGGACAATGCTGATGATATGAGGGTTAGTTGGGACCATGCTGATGATATCATAGTAAATGGGGACAATGCTGATGATATGAGGGTTATGTTGGGACAATGCTGTGATATCAGGGTTAGTAAATGGGGACAATGCTGATGATATCATAGTAAATGGGGACAATGCTGATGATATCATAGTAAATGGGGACAATGCTGGTGATATCATAGTAAATGTGGATAATGCTGGTGATATGAGGGTTAGTTGGGACAATGCTGATGATATCATAGTAAATGTGGATAATGCTGGTGATATGAGGGTTAGTTGGGACAATGCTGGTGATATCATAGTAAATGGGGATAATGCTGGTGATATGAGGGTTAGTTGGGACAATGCTGATGATATCATAGTAAATGGGGATAATGCTGGTGATATGAGGGTTAGTTGGGACAATGCTGATGATATCATAGTAAATGGGGACAATGCTGATGATATGAGGGGTTAGTTGTGACAATGCTGGAGATATGAGGGTTAGTTGGGACAATGCTGATGATATAGTAAATGGGGACAATGCTGATGTTATTATAGTTAGTGGGGACAATTCTAGTAATATTACAACTGGTGGGGACAATGCTGGTGATATCAGTTAATGTGAGTGTTTAAGTAGGGAGACAATATTTTGGGGGACAATGCTGGTAATAGTTGTTTAAGTAGGGACAAATGTTATAGTGATATTATAGTTTGATATGCTGGGACAATGCTGGTGATGAGATTATAGTCTAATTTGGTGGCAATGCTGCTTATATAGGTGGTGAGGACACTAGTGGTGATATTATAGTTAATAGAATAGACAATGTTGGTATCATAAGGGAAGTGGGGACAATATTGGTGATATAATTATAGTTAGAGGGGAATAATGCTGAGATGACAATGCTGGTGATAAAAGTGTGATTGATGACAATACTGATGTAATGAGGTCTAATTTGGTGGCAATGCTGCTTATACAGGTGGTGAGGTAAATAGTGGTGGTGAGATGTGTATTCAGAATAGTAATGTTGGTTAATAAGGGCTAGTGGAGACAATGCTGTTTATATAAGAGCCGTGATGGTGATAAAAATGCTGTAAATCATTTTGAAGGTGAAATTAGGGTTTTTGAGAGCATTATGCTGGTGATGAGTACTGGCAAGTAGAGAATGGTTAAAATGATAGTTTATGTAAATTAAATATAGAAAATAGTTATTAAATGGGGAAAATATTTGATAAAAAAAGTAAGAATGATGATAGATAAAAGAGAAATGGTTAATAAATTACTGTAATAGGAATATGGGAAAAAAAATTACGTTTAAAAATCTGACAAAAAATTGAGTATAACGGATGATGAGAAAGGAAGGTGGACAAAGCTATAGATACAAGTGCCATGCCAATTTAATTACAAAGTGAGGTAAAAGTTTTTTTTCTTTGCAACTTGGAGAGATAACCTTAGTTTATGCAAAATTTCCTTGAAATTCTGACTACATAAACATATAAACTTATAAATATATAAATGAAGATCCAATAGGCAAAAATTAGGTTCATTTTGAATAAAATTGCCTGTGTTTTTAGAATTGCAAGTTTTTTATACATGCTTCTTTTTTTGCTTCAATTGTTACATTGAATAATGCTTAAATGTAAAAAATCTTATCTTGTCTACAAAACATTAATTCCAAACTGAAACTTTATAATTAAATTTTTTTTTCTAAAATATTTTTATGTGATAAAACGACTGACTTTTAAGATTGTCTGATTTCTAGTATGTTATGCAAAAGTTGTCAATTTGTATAAACTAACATTTTGGTTTCCTTAGAAAAGTTGTTTTCTTTTAAAATAATACTAAAATATGGTTATAGTTACAGCTTTTTTTCTATTATATTATCCTATTTTTTCAAACATAGCACTTATTGATTATTCTTTTGGCCTTATTGAGCTCATTTTGTAAATGCAACATAGGGCTAAGTCAAGTTAGACCAGTTTTGCTGAAAGTTTATCATTGAAATTTGGTGATTTATAAATGGAAAACTGATCTAACTCATATCTTTTCAAATATCTTTTTTATTTAACAATATTAATTTATGAAACTCCTTTAAACTAATATTTTAACTTATATGGATATAAAAATCTAAAAATAATAACAAAAATGTCCAATTTATAGAATTAATTAAGTTTTTATAGCCTCCTTGAAAATTTGTAAAAATCAAGTTAGACCAGTGTTGCGTTCAGCCATCGATATATATCTCATCTACACTCCCAGTATGTATCAATATTTTAGAAACTGTAAATTCATTTAATTTTGAGGGCATGAAATTTTGTGGTTTTGTCAAAAACTGACATTTTCGTGGTTCTTGAATTTGTGAATTGTCTTTGCAAAAAAGTAAAGTGCAAATAATGTAATACAAAAAAATAAATCTTACAGCCCATGAAATGAAATATATTTATATATTATATTCATGGATTGACCTGTCCATGAAAACAACAAAGATTTATGTCCAACATAATGGTTTTGAAATATGTCAGCTTTTTTTATCTCGAGTTTTTATTATTGATAATGTCAGGGTCTTCATTATTAACACTTTAACAGATTGGCTATCCATATTCAAAATAGTTGTATTTTCAGCCTGTAAATTTACATATATACCCCCTTGACCTTTTGGCGAAATAGGGGCTGCTTTTGTAAGCACTTCCGTTGCCTCAGATATAAAATAAAATTAATTAAAAGTTATTCCAAAACTAATATAGTATAAAATTAGTATATTTTTATTGTCATGATAATCAGGAATACAAGTTTGAAGAAGACAACCCGTTGATAAATCACCCAGATCCTTTCCAAGCTGGTCTTGAGAAGTTAAAACAAGGAGATATACCAAACGCTGTTTTACTGTTTGAAGCTGCTGTGAAAAAAGATGAAAATCATGCTGAGGTAATGTGAACTTGAAATTATTTTAAGAGTTTTAAGATCAATTATTTGGATTATATATTCACCCTTGCATTGTGGTTAGCGCAAAGCCTGATCATTATTTTGCAAAAATAAAAGTCATTCTGAAATGTAAAATTGAAATACTTTTTAGGGAAATCCACTGACCTGGTAAAAAAACCACCTCAAAACAAAAAATTTGAAATTCTTGCATAAATCAATTAAGACGCTTAAAATAGAAGTCTGCAAAAGATCGTAATGAATATAGAGTAGAATTTAATTTTTTTGCAAGATTTTTATCCTGGTTTGAGAAAAAAGCAGTGCAACACTTTTCATTATTTAGTCATTTTGCATGACTAATGCAATGGTTAATTGGGGAAAAAAGAAATTAGTGAATGATCTTAAATTTTTATCTTACCTGTCACAAAGTGACAAGGTGAGCTTTTGTGAGGGCTTTTCGTCCTGCGTCATGCTGTGCGTCTGTATGTCATCTATTAACTTTTACTTTAAACGAATCTCCTCATAAACCTCTAAGCCAATTTCAAGAAAAAAACTTAAAAGTCTTCTTTTAAAAAAACACAAAGAGCTAAAGCTTAGATAATAGGCATGAAACATCTTCTAGTGAGTGTCTACCAAGTTTGTTCAAATAAAAGCCCTTGGGCCAAAATTGGTCCCCACTCAGGGGGGTCATTAATTTTTCTTAAAAGTATATACATGTAGTAGAAACTGAAAAAAATCGTCGTTAAAAAACAAAAGGGCTAGGGCTAAGATATTCAGCATGAAACATCTTCTAGTGAGTGTCTACCAAGTTTGTTCAAATAAAAGCTCTGGACTCAAAATTGGCCCCGCCCCGGGGGTCATTAATTTTCCTTATATGTATATAGTAAATACTTAAAAAAATCTACATTTAAAAACCCCAAAAAGATAGCGCTATGATATTTGGCATGAAACATCTATTAGTGGGTGTTAACCAAGCTTGTTCAAAGAAAGTCCTCGGTTCAAAATTATTCTTGTTCATGGAGATGTTTTATATTCAGGTGAGTGATTTCAGGGCCATCATGGCCCTGTTGTAAAAATAACATTTCTCTGAGGGTAAAAGTGCATATTAGAAACCCGAGAACTAAAATTTCACCCAAGGTGGAGCTCTATTACCTGTACAAACATGTATTGTGTTTTAGCTGACCTGTCACAAAGTGACATGGTGAGCTTTTGTGATCGCTTTTCTTCCTGTGTCCGGCCGGCGTCCCTCTGTACATGAAATTTAACTTTAAACCACATCTCCTCATAATCCGCTAAGCCAGTTTCATCCAGAAACTTAAATAACCTTCTTTTAAAAACCCCAATGAGCGTAGATGTTAAGCATGAAACATCTTCTAATGTGTGTCTACCGAAAACCCAAATGAACAAGTATTCTGACCCAGGTGACCTATTTAGGGCCATAATAGCCCTCGTGTTATGATACTTTGTAACAATGTTCACCACCATTAAATGTATTGCTTCATACATAATCCAGTTCAAAGGTCAAGATTACACTTAGAGCTAATTGCTATGCATATCTTTTAGGCCCACATGTCCATCAAAAGCTTTTGACAGGTATCTTTTGCAACAATATTGACCTAGTTCTTCTTTAATTAATCTACTGCGTTACTAACACAGTAGAAAATAAATCATTCAGCACGGTCACGTGTCACAGTCCAAAGGTTCAGAAAAATCCCTGGAGGGTCATATATAAATGTTTGTTAACCCTTTCCCTCATGAGCATATTGTGAAAAATGGCCGCTTTCATTGAAAAGCCTCCTGTTACAAGTTCAAACTGCTATGAAACTATGAAAAATGCTTCAATACTAATCAAACTTGGCACAAATGTTGACTGGACCATTGCCTTTGTAATGACATGCTCAGTCTTAAATTTCCTGTTACCATAGCAACGAGGGGACGTCTCCAATTGCCAAAAATCACTATTTGTCTTGATTTTTTCCATCAAAATTTATTTCAAAGTGCTGCAACTTCACAAGGGATTGAGATAGAGTCAAACGCTTTTCAGTGTTGGTTACATGTTACCTTATGATCGACCTGGGGTCATTTTTAGCCTCTCACAAGTCCAAAATTTTCTTGGTGATGAGGGGGACTACAGCCCCCCTTCAAACCCCCCCCCAACAGAAGGGATAACTTTTTTTAGCAACATTTCTCAAACGAAAACGTGTTTGGGGCCCAAATAGGACATTTTTTTACTATTTGAGGCCTAAAAGAGGGGGGGGGCCGAAAGTGCGTTGTTTCGCGTATATATGAGGTAAAGGGTTAATGTATGTGTAAGCCGTAATCATATTTCAAGCTAAAGTTTTAATTGTTATATTGGTTATTAGATATATTATATGATTAATCAAGTATAACTTTTAGAATCACGAACTATTACAAATAGCAAAACCAAAGTAATTCATTTGTTTCCCTCTATGTTTGATATGATCTTGATTCCATTTGTTCCAGACACACAGGTTGCAATATTGTCCTGTACCATCACATAGCACTATGAAAAATAAATGAAAGAACTCCATACTATAATAAATGAAGGTTTATCTCCATTGGGGGGAAAGCGAACTGTTAGTTTTCAGAGAAAAAATTTTAAACTATTAACATTTTGAAGTGTCACTCCGATTTCTTTCAACTAGGTATTTTGAAAAAATTAGTAAGACAGTAGTTTTTCTGTCATCTTCTGGAGGCATGCTGCTTTAAAGCCATCATTTATTTACTATTATCTTAGATATTTGGTTTTTGTATGATTTACCCAACTTAATGCATTATGGGGTTGAGGTAATGACTAAAGAGGATTTAAGAATAGAATTTTATTTAATTCATGCACAGAAGTATAAGCAAGCCATTAATGAAAATGAATATTACACTAAGTGTCATCACAATGTAACATGATATCATTGTGTTATTCAAACATCAAAATAGGCTAAATATTAGCATTGCACTATATGTATATGTGCATCAATGAAAAGAATGATTCCTTTTTACTGAATATCATTTTTATTTTTGGCATGTAATAAATAAAAATTTATCATTTTGTGTTTATTTCTTCATTCTATCTAAATTTATAGAACTCGTTAAGCTAAACAACACTATCATCATCTGAACTTTTTCTTATTTTTCCAACAGTTATGTAGTTTTTTTTTGTAATATAACAAATAACAGTTAAACCAGATGCATTCAAAAATGGGAATTTCAAAAGAAATTATCACCTATAATGAATAAAACATGTTACACACTTTGCAAACATTTTGAGAGAAAGGCATCTATTTAAAAACATGTATATTTTTCTTTTGTGAATCATTTGTTTTACTGTTTACATATCAAACACTTCAATGTTGACATCTGTATATCTACTAATACACATCTTTGTCATTTGTTGATTACAACAGACTGATCTAATTCCCCTTTTTTCACTATCAGCTTTTATAACCTCTCCTATCAGCTCACCATCACATGTAAACTGTAAAACATTATTGGAGTTAGATCCAGATACCAGCACACTACCTGTTTCAGTGAGATAACAACAGCCTGCCCTCTTTAATTGTCCATCATTAAATGATGTTATAACCTGGCCATTATTGTCCAGTATTATTAGTCCATTATACCAGTCAGCAACATAAATCCTAGTAGCATCCTTACTGACAGCTATACTGTATATGTTAGAGAACAGCTTATGTCCTGATTGATCCTTACTGAACTGATTAAGTTTCCTACCTGACAATGTATACATATATACTGATGTGTTACCATCTGAGATATATAAATTATTGTTTGCATATGCAAGACCAGCACATTTGAAATCAGTTTTGAGCTTGTTTGTTGTTTTCATATTTCTTTCTAGAGAAATGAAATGAACTTCCTTTTTTAATTGGAATAGTTACTGCTACTTGTGTGTTATTGATCATACACACTTGCCATGGCTTTCCAGGTAGATCACAGTAGTCTGTGACAGTATATGTGTAACTGTGTAACCGTTTAAGCTTGTTGTTGTTGTTATCAACTAGAATTATTGTACCATCTTCCATACAGCAGGCACTCCTGATATTACAACTGACATTATCCGACTTAACTTTTAAATTATATGATTGATTTCCTTTAATCTGAAATAAATTGTCAGCTGTCTGTAAAGGTTTCTCTGATAGTGTACCAATGGTCTTCTTTTGTTCTAACTGTGTAAGTATTGTTCTATCAGGTTGAAACTCTATGTCTTCTACTGTACTTTTTATTTTGACATGCTCCATATACTTGTTCGCAACATTTGCAGCATCTTCTCCCATCTTAACATTAACAAACACTTCAGAATGATTTGTGTTTGTAAATGCTAATTTATCATAAGCTGATCTAATCCTGGACTTATTTGCTTGTAGCTGTTTTAAACTGTCATCGATTTTGTCTTCAAGACATTTTACTTTACTCTCTATCTCATTAATAGAACTTTTCTCCAGCTTGTCAAGATGGTCATTGATTTCTTGACGGAATTTTCTGATAAAAGCCAGTATTTCTGCTTTCCTCTTTAACAGCCTTTGTTTATCCTGTTTAAATCTATCAGCTTGTTTTTCAAGGGTCTTGCCTATTTCCTTGAGTTTTGTTTGAATGTCTCTCGATTCAACTTGGTAAGTATTGTTTTGGATAAATTCTGGTATGTAGAATGTGTCCTTACATAATCTGAAAAATAAGTTCAAACAGTTTATGAGGCTATGAGATGACAGAGGAGATGATATTTTATTTAGTGTTATATATCAAAGATAGTCTAAGAATATTATGTAAAGTACCTATATACTATGGAGGGCGATCGTTGCCAAAATTCCAGACATGTAATGTGTTCCTTTTGAAAACTACTTTTGAAAATGCGAACATGTATGTCTAGCATTTTTGATTGCATTCGTGCACAGCAAATGATATGCCTCTTAATCCAATCTTTTAATTGAAGGCAACCTGCTTTTAAATAACACGTTTACATGTAAATCTTAACAACT